CAGGGCAAGATCCTCGGGGCAGAGCCCATCTTTGTTCATCAGTGCCTGTCCCTACAAAATGCTGGCTTGTGCCTGGACCTCTTAGACAGTATTACTATCGTTAAGCAATGACAGTTGTTTACCCATCTTTTACAGTCTTACAAGGAGGGCGTGGTGCCTTTTGGCTAGGATAAAGAAGCTACAGGCTACATTACTCAAAGCATAGCAACTCCTTTCCTATTGCTGGGAGGGAGGGAGTAGGGAGATTGAAATACAGGATCCTGTTATTCTGGAAGGCACCCGAACAGGCACAAAAAAGTAGGTACTGGATGATGTTTCCACATTTCAGGTCTGTAAGTCTGGTCCAGCTCAGGCTTGCCATGCTTAAAGGGGGAAGCTGCTACACTTAGCAGAAATCTAACCTTCGTTTGAGTTTAGTCCTTATTAGCACGGAAAGCACTGTCTAATGAAACTGAGAGCAGAAAAAGCAGAGGAAAAAATGCCCCAAATCAAGTCATGCTTGCAACTACCACTGGCCAGTGTTGCTTGCCAGTCATGTCAAAAAGTTTCTGCGGGTGCAGAAAGAGCATTTACAGGTTGCAAAATCTTCTACAGGAGGAATAAAACTACTCGACCTCACAGAAAGACTTATGCGTGTTTACCTGCACTGACTCAGCCTGATTTTCTCTACGGCAGAATGACGCCCGGTGCGCTCCTACAGTACAATTGTGCCAGGGTGGTCGGAACAGCGCTAGAACCAGTTAGACGGGACTGAATCACCACCTCCAGACTTGCTCTCTGCAGACAGCTCAAGAGCTAGAGAGAATATAATGATGTATCCGCGGGGTACGTACACTCCAAAAATAAACAGGGTCTTCTTGAATTGGCATGGCACCCCAAGTTCAAACGGCAGCCGAGACAAGGCAACCTGGCGGTTTACTCAGGGTGCCAGCTCCATTTCAGCCTAGCCAGCAGTCCGGGACTCACCCAAGCAAAAAGCCAAGCTCCCTTATTTCCAATACTATTTTGATCTAAGTTGACAACCTGCTTTCTTTGCGGTGCGATCATACTCTAGGGATAGCCCAAGTTAATCAGCTGGCTTGAGACTCATTAAACCAGTGTTTCCCAAACTTTGGGAAAAAGTGAAGTAGCCCCTCTCACCCCTACTTCAAGCAGCTGCTTGTGATGTGGCCACTACCGCTTCCCCTCACTGCCATTTGCCGTGGCCTTTCTGGCTTGCCCTTTGGTCATGCCCCCCACCAAGGGGGGGCACCCTATACTTTGGCATCCCCCTAAAGCCACAATGCTCTAAGTAAGCCGCTGCATCCTTCTGTAAAGTAGAAAAGCCTGCTCCTTTCTGTCCCCAAATGCTATTCCTTCTCGGATCACTGCAGAAAAACAGCAAGACCCTTGCAAAAAAGCAACTCTGGCGACATCAGACCTTCATTGCAAAAACTCCCTCGGTTCCTCCTACCAAAATACTGCGATGGTAAAGACGGCTTCCTTTGGGCGAGTTTTGGCGAGCGCACCCCAGCTTTTCAGCTGGATAAATTAAATCAGAAAAACCTGCTCTCCCATTCATCTCCCTCAAACCTCGTGGTGACACGGGCAAGGGAGGGTTTCAAATGGACAAGGTGCGTAAGTGTGAGGAAGCAGCACCCTGGTCCTCCCAGCTTGTGTGTGCAGCGTGCTCTCGGACAGAGCAAACACGGTGAGCGTTTGCTGCAAGAACATACTCTGGAAAGTCTCAGGTATAAACCTACTTCTGAATCACCCTGCTTGGTGCCTGGAGGCCACAGGTTTCAATAACTCTCCTTGACCGGGATTACTCCAGCTCTGCATACCGTGGGCTAGCAGGGCCCACCCTAAAAGGCTGCATTAGCAGCCTGGATGGGTGCTCCAAGGATGCACCTATTCTGCACCCCTCTTACCAATGTGTTTATACAAACACTGCACCAGTGGTGCTCAACCTTTTGGCCCTGTGGGCCAAATGAGTGGCACTCATCTAGGGGCCAGACTGGGCCCTGGCACTGCCCCCTGGGATTGGGCACCGGATCCGGCACACAGGGCTCAGGGCTCCTCGTGGGCCCAGAGATTTGGCAGCAAGAGGGTGGTGCCACCGGCCAGATCTGGCCCACGGGCCAGTGGTTGAGCGCCCTTGCACAACACTAAGACGTAGTATCTGCATGTATTTTTCTCTTCTGGACGGATGCACAGGAATTGCTTCTCCAGCTCCCCAGCCATCAAAACCTGTGAAAGATTAGCTTTGCACTCATACGCAGTTCCAAGAAAACAGAGCGAGGGGCATTGCCGCATGTCTCTAAAGGCCGGCCCCACACAGGTTTTCACCTGCGTCACCTCCGATGCGGAGATGAGGCATCGTTTTGAGGCTGTCCGTTGACAGCACACGTCAACACCAAAATTAAAAACCCCATGTCCTTTCCCAAAAGGACTCTCTTCCCTGGCTTCTCCCTGAGCACGTCAAGGGCAGCAGCGGTGTGATCTTGGACACTTCCTACCTGCAGCGAGACCAAACCCCATTACTGTTCAATTTTTTGAACCTGAAGGGAAGTGTAATGATGCACGACCCCGCAGCAAAGCTTTGGGTCCGAGGAAAGATCAATCTGCCGTGCACGATTGCATGTCAGCTCAGGAGCTGAACTCTCCAACCACGGAAATGAAGCAAAACATTGTTACTCAGCCTGGAAAACAGGGCCTGGAGAGATTTCCCTTCGCAGCCCCTCCGAGGTGTTAATGTGGCGACACACTCAGATTCCTTCCTCCCATTGTTCTGACTTCCCGTGAGCTCAGCGAGAGCCAGCCGGACGGCTCACCCTCCCCCACTGCAAACTCTGCCTCGAAATCACAACTTCATCGGCAAGCCACGAGCTTGCGAAACTCGGGCTCGTGCTCGGGAAGTTTCCAGTTGGGCTACTCGACTCCCGCGCCCTAGAGAGGCAACAGTTATGACTTGAGCTCCACTGCCTGCCGATTTCCAGACCAGCCACGGGGCATGAGGCCAGGATCATCTGGCGTGCGGAGATTGGAGCGTAGGTCAGGCCTCGTGCTCTCGCCTGAACTCTCCCAACCCCGTTGCCAAGTTTGTGGGGGAGGAAGGCCTCTGCCCCCTCTCCCTGGAACGGACAGTTTAAAGACACATTTTTCTAAAGGTTTGCTCTCCGTGATTTCATCCTCTCTCCCCAATTCCCAAGGCAGGCTGTTTCATTACTTACTCACTCATCCCAATGCACATTTAAACAATATAGGAAAAGACTGTCACTTCTCGCGTCCGGGTTGACATGTGGGACATCCTTTTGTCTGCAGAAGCTAACCATTATGTTAGGCTTTAAAAAGCATCTGCTGTGCAGCCTTTATCGCTGGTGCTAGCCATGTTGGCTCGTTCAGGAAGAGTGTCTTGGTGTAACTATCAATACGTTGTCAGCTTTCATTTTCCCCTTGGTTTTCTTCTCTTCATTTTCACATAGCAGAAACCTTAGTTTTCTGCTACTTCGATTTTTCAGTAAACTTTCTGCAAGCAAAGACCCCCAAACCATCTGTGCCTCAAGGCCCCTGAGACTAACAAATGATTGCAGAGAAGGAGGCTTATGTACTCCCTGCATAGCAGTGGTTTTGGCCTCTTGCATGCTGGTCACCACTGTTTTACTGGAACAGCTTCACCATCGAGATCTGGACCGTTTAGAAATAATGTCTTCTGACGTCATAGCTCCCAGCTCATCTCGCTCTCCATGCCAGCGGGTGTAGCACATCCTGCTCCATTTAACACTAACATCTACTCAAAACTGCCCAACCAAGAGAAAGAGCTCCACTATATAGCAAGGTTTTTCCATTTGTCCAGGCGTAGTTACAGAGGATACAACTTTGCCTGTGAACAAGTTTACTGAGGGATCAAAAAAGCCCGATTTAAATCCCTTCTAGGACACATCAATGAAGCCAACAAGCCACTCCGATCTTGAAACAGGACTGGCCACAAACAGGTTCAAGCAGTGCAACTAGACTGGCTGAAATCCACACCTTTGATTATGCCAAGAAAAACCTTTAATTCACAGACAAGGCCAAAAAAAAAGGTCTGCGACTCGCGTTGGTGTAATGGCGTAACAGAGATATTATCTGTCCGAACGGGATCAATTAACCGTGTGATGAAAAGTAAATGGCTGTTAAAACATTCCCCCTATCGTTGCTAGTCACTGAGCAGCAAGATGTAAATCAGACCAATCACCAGCCGTGGAGCACATCAGTGATGGAGGCTTCACAGCAAGAGAATCTCTTAAGCGGCACTGAGATAATTAATGTAGCGTGACAGTACAACCTGACATCATAATGCCGCATAAAGTCAAACTCCCTAAAGAACTTTCTCTCTTTAGGCTCGGTTAAAAGGTCTGCACTGAAAGCTTGAGGTGCTCCAATGCTTCTCTACAGGCAATGCAAAGGCCCCTTTGGAAAAACTGGTGAGACAAAAGCACAGACATATCCCCCCCGCCCCCAAAAGCTTAACATTGTCTGTCTGCCATTTTAACTGAAGGCCAGCATCTGGAGCAGTGCTGTGCCATCCAGAGCTCCTGAAGGACAGCTGGGATTCTGGGGTTGTACCGACATCCACTTCGAGAGACACCGATGGATCTGTACCGAGCATCTTGGAAGATACGGAACGGATGATTCAAATAATTGTCAAGGAAGCAAAGTGCTCTTCCTCGCCAAAAAGTGAATACAAGATCTAAAAAGCCAAGAGAGGACACTGTCCTAATACCACGCACAGCACAAGGAACAAACTTTTCACGACAGACCACAGAGGAGCCATGTCATCAACTCTTCCTTTTAAGACTTGAAATTCTTCCTGGCGGGGCCCACGCATGGTACAAAGCCAAGCACAGTGGTGGGTTTTTACTATCAAACCATGGCGTTACGCTAGCTCGGAGAATGCAGGTTCTGCTGGAGGAGCGCAGAAGACCATGCAGCGCAGCAAACGACCTGCTAATGAGAAAACATGCATCATGAGCACTTACCTTGAAGTCACCCAACTGCTGGTTGATGGTTTCCACCTCTGTTCCCACGACCCACTGCAGTGCCTCGTTCTCCTCCGCTGCCGCCGTCATGTGATTCAGCTCTCTCAACCGGTTATAAAAGTCCTCGACGCGAGCCAGCGTCGTCTCAACCTGCTCTCGTCGATTCTTGCCTCTTTCTGTCAGCTTGCTGCACTGTTTGTTCAGAGTCTCCAGTTCTCGTTTCAGTCCCAATAAATCGGGGCTCCCTTCTTCCTCTAGCATTTTCTTGCATTCCCCTTCAGAGGCTTCGATGTCCGACTTCAGCCCCTGGAGTTTGCCCAGGAAAGCGCGAACATCCTCGGCTTGAGACTGGAGGCTATCAATATCTCTCCCGATGGCACCCATGCCGTCGAGCTCATCGTCGAGATCTGCCAGCTGAGAGAACATCTCCCGGACGTGGTTGTTAAACTGGCCTATTCCCTCAAGCTTGTTCTCCATGAGCGTACAGCATTCACTGACTTTCTGCTTCACGGTTTTGAAGTCCTGCTGGGCCGCTTCGGCTTGGAGTAAGAGCTGGGAGCAGTCGGATCCATCTGGTGCATCTTCCACCAGGCCCTGAGTGAAGTTCCGCAGATAGTCCACTTGTGGCTCCAGGGCCTGGAGCACTTCCTGCTGCGCCCTGAGCTTCTCCAAATTCTTGTTGCTGCAAGCTTGTGGGCCCAGAGCATCGTAGATCTCCATCTGGTGCTTGGCCCCTTCCAACTTCTTCTCAATGTTCTTGAAACTTTCTTGGAACTCCTTCAGCCTCTGTGACATTTCCTCAATGGACCCGGTCTTGGCTTGCAGCTCTTCCGTGATGACATCCATCTTCTGGTTGATCCCTGCTTTCTCATCCCGGATGTCATCCTCATCGGTCTGAGAGGCATCTATCAAGATATCAGCAGCACTGTTAAGCATCTCCAGCAGCGAGCGCCGTTTCTCCACATCGCCGAGCAGTGCCTTGGATCTCAGCAGGGTTGCCTCCAGCTGCACGGGGTCCAGCGTTACTTCCAGCTCTGCCATCTTGGCTTTGCAGTCCTCCACCCAGGGGAGGAGGTCTTCTGTGTGCCGCTGGTACTTCTGAGCCTTTTGCAAACAGTCTTTGAGGCTGGAGTGTCTATCGGCAACCTGTTTGCTGAGCTCATCCCAGTGCGTTTTGAGGCCAACCAGTTGGTTTTGCAAGGAAGTCTTTTCTTCCCCAGGCTGGACAGAGAGAAGCAAAGACTCCCCCTCAGCCACAATCATCTCGTAGGAGCCACTGTGCTGATTGAGGCTCTTCTGGAGCTCTTCCTGCTCCTGGATTTGACCCTGAAGCTTCTCTAGTTTAGCAGAAATCGGCCGGCTCTGTGCTTGCTGGCACAATTTGTCATCCAGCCAGGTCCTGAGCTCGTCAAACATGTGCTGGAACTGCTGGGAGCTCGCGAGCGCAGTCTGCAGTCGATTCATCCGGTCGGCTGAAAGGGAAACAAGATTAGAAAGCCACAATGAAGCTGGAATCAAATAAGCAAGGCAAAACCATTTTAAAACCTCCTGAACACGAAAGTTGCGTTTTGATTAATGGGAATGAGCTCTTTCCATTGCATCACTGGCTTTTCGCTCATCAGGTCATGAACGTCTTGACTAGAGCAGTTAAGCTCTTTTGGGTGGTGGTGGGGGGGTTACGAGATCTTTGTGATCCATATGTGGATGGAAGAAAGTGCTTTGAGTTTAAGGATCCTCGGCGTGTCTTTCCCACTTCTCGCACTGGAGATTGGGACTGGGGTCTTTTCAGACCCAGTCAACCCTCCACACACGAGGCCTATCCTCTCTGTTTTCACTCCCAGGCCCCGGCAGTATGGTCTGGGAATTAAAACCATACCTCCTTTGTGGCATGACACAGACCACTTCACTTTGGCCTTCTCCAGCCCTCCTTTCCAACTTAAAACCGTCACAAAAGAGCCTTCCTCATTATCTCTAGCACTGACAGAGCAGCCTTTTGTAAAGAGTGGGGAACGAAGCTGAACACCGCTGCTTCCTACAACGGGCTGCCTCGTGACATCTCACCTGCCAGGTCTTCGAGCCCTTTGAGAGGAAGGGCCACCGTCTCCAGACGCTTCCTCAGCTCGTCCTTGAGGTACTGCTCCCCGATCAGGACTGACAGCTCATCACAGAGGGTCTGCGCTTCTGCAATCTCCTCTTCCAACTGCTCCAGGTCGGACCGGATCTCACTCGTCTCCTCCAGTTGCTGCTTCACTGCATCTGGCTGGGTGCTGATGGCGGACTGGCTACTCAGTCGCTGCCCAACTGCCTTTACCTTTTCCGACAAGCCCTGCAACAGCTCTTGGTACTGGGTGCTCTTGACTATGGCTTGGTCAATTTGGCTGGAACGGGAGTTGAGTTGCTCAGTTAGCTCAGACCATTTCCGATTGACCCCTTGGAGCTCCTCCCGCACCTGGCTTGCAGATGGAGAAAGGTCTCCAGGGCCCGTTAGTATTCCCTGGGCTGCCTGATTCAGCTGCTCATGCTGCTGTCTGCGAGCTTCAAATTCCTTCAGCATAAACTGGAACAGAAAGAACGTGAAAATGTTTGTATAAATGTGACAGGTCCGAATACACCCAATCAAAACAACACAGGCCTCTGGGGCTTTGAAACAATTCAAAGAAACACTGGAAACAAACCAGGAAACTCTTTTTGGGGTTTTTTGTTGTTCTCCCGCCCTGGCGGGGGGTCGGGCTAGAAGATCTACTAGGTCCCTTCCGACCCTTAATCTATGAATCTATGAATCTATGAAACTCCTGGGATAGGCCAACGAGTAGGCAACAAAGACCTCAATTTATAACAGTGTTTCAGCTTTAAAAAATTGGAAGGATCCATGGCTGCCTGTATAAAGTATCCGCTTCCTTCCCATATTCATCCCCCTACTGTACAACGTAACATTAGCCGGCTGGACAAGGAGATCCAATTATGTTAACAGGGATATTTTGTGGTTTGGCCGGTTATGGGCATATTAGCAACCTAATTTGTAATTACAGGTAAGTAGGCAGAGAGCAGGCTGACAGGCAGGTTGCTCTGCCAAAAGGGCAGTATGAACAGGCCCTGCATTACATCAACGGTGATCTTTTTAGAGAGTGGAATTGCTTTTAATAGAGGACAAATGAATCAGTGCTGAGTCAAGCCTCCCTGTGCAGAGAAATGAGATCAAGAACTGCACCCGCTTCGCTGCTGCGTGGTGTGGTCTGCACCCAACGCGTTTCAAGGCCTTTGAGAAGAGATGGTGGAGTTAGACGCTCTCAATTAGCCACGTGCTCTCCAGTACTCACTGTACAAGGGGATACATGGCAGGGCACTTTTAATACAAGAACAAGGTTTAACATGCTAACTCAGCAGGCTCTGTAGCAGAAGAGGGTGTCTGCATGCTATGCACACAAACACAAGCGTATAAACATAGGGCACATTTACACGTGCTTTAATGCGCACTAGCCTGTTTTAATGTGCATGAAAATGTCACTAAAAACTGTGCATTAAAATAGACTAATGTGCATTAAGCGTCACTTAAAAACTGTGGGCATTTACACACATACTTTTTGGACCTGTGACATGCTGGAGAACTGCCACTTCAGAGCAGACTCGATTAATCAAGTCTGCCCTGCACATGAGCTGACATGCACTGCACTGCATCGTGTGCAGTTGTACAAGCGGCAAAATGCACGTCAGCGCACAGGAAATGGCAGCGGCGCACTTTTGAAATAAAGCCCCTTCTATGCGTTCTAGTTCGAAAGCGCGCTGCTGCTATTTTCTCAGTGCTGATGCGCATTTTGCCACTCGCGCAACTGCAAGCGTCACTTATACAACAGCGGACATTTCGCTACTTACACAACTCTGAAAAGCACATTGCACTGTGGTGCTTGCGCGTGTAAAAATGCCCCGTGTGCTCTTTAGTTAATGTGCATTAAAACAGGCTAACACACGTTTTCCTCACAATGAAGGTACCAGGTTTAATGCGCATTAACAAAGCACATTAATGCACATGTAAATGCACCCATAGTATAGAAAATATGCAGAAGAACTCATCAGCCACAGGTGAGAGAACACAGCTTGCAACTACTTGCAATAGAGCCTGGAAGTGCCCCATCCTCCTCACACAAAGGAGGCACAAGGAAGCTGCCTTTCTCACCTGGACCTGCTGCTTTTGTGCATTCAGCATGTTGGGATCAATGGACAGGGGTCCCAGCACACTCATCATTAGCTCCTTCTCCATCAGCCACGGGCGCAGCTGGGCTTCGGCTGCCTGGAAGCTCGCTAGCTGATTTGCCGATTCCTCCAGCTTCTGCTGGCGCTCGGCTGTTACTTGATTGGCTTTTTCCCACCTGCAACCTGAAAAGCAGCAGCAGAATGAAGCCGGTAATGTTGCTGCTCCTGGAAAAACACCCCTCTCGGTTTAAGAGCTTCCATTTCCTCATCGCTAATTTGTCACTGAAGATCGCCTCTGTTTAAGAGGGAAGCTGTGGTGTAATCTTAAAGCAATGTCTAATATTCCAGGATAATCTTGGTGAAACATATAATACAACCTCAGCCCCATCAAATATTATCCAATTTGAACTTGCGCTCAGGACCCCAGCATTCTCGGCAATCTTGTCACCGATTTCCAAGACTCTGGATGAATCATTTCAACTTTCCCCTCCTTCAGATTCCCCCTGTGTTAAACCAAAATAATCTAATGCTTATCAGACTTTGGAAAGCACTTTTGTCATTCCTAACAACTGTTCAGAAATGTTTCTTTTCTAAGATAAGCCATCATGGTGAGGCAACAGCTATCTAGAGCATTGCAACTAATCATGAGGATTTTACTGTCAGCGATGAAACTTTCACTCAAAAAAAAAAAAATGATTTCACTCAAAAAAAATGAGCGATTTAGTTGGACATTTTCTAAGGTAATTTAAGAAAGCAAACTCTCTGAAACACACACCTGCCATGCAGGTTTCATTCAGTGAGACTCAGCTTGTCCTGAAAACACTCTGTGTACCCATGGCCTTAAGGTACACTCTTTAATTTCCTGAATTTTTAATTAGAAGTGACTCTGTTGTTCTAGGACCCTGGGATCATCCTGGAACTTCGGGTCACCCTCAAAGGATGTTCAGAGGCATCTAAAAACCATGCTAAGTCCCTGGGGCACTTACTAAGATCCTCCTGCATCTTCTTCCAGCTTCCTGCTTCTGGAGAATCAGGGTACTTCTCCAGCAAATCAGAAAGTGCCTCCTTCACCTTCTGGATTTTCCCTGAATTCTGTTCCAGCTCAGCCAGGAATGCCTAAAAAAGGAAATGTTTTTGGACATGCTGAGATATACAGGCTAGAAGACACAATACTTGCACTAGGGCTATATTGTGCCAAACAACATGAGAAAGGAAAAGCAACCACAGCGGGATTTACACAAGACACCAGGCCTTTGGGTTTTGTGGAGCTACTCCATCTTGTTACTATGGGCTTAGGGTTAACTTGCGCTAAAGGAAAGAAGAAATGGAAAAGCTCATCCTTTTCATTGGGGTGCTAGCTGGCACTTTGTTTTCCAGGGGAATGTGGGATGATCCACGAATTAGGGCTTTGAAGAGAGATTACAACCTTTGTTTAACTAGAGCCTCTTTCTCAGGACCCACCGCACGTAAATTCTCTAAAACTCAAGACAGGTTGTACGTGTTCAAGCTACGTTGGACCAACTGCCCTCCCAAAGAAAGAGAAATGCAACCAGTTGCGTGTCACTCTCAACTTCACACAATAAAGCAAGTCTCCTGGTCAGGGTAGCAAACGTGGACTCTCCCCCAGCCATGAGAGAGCAGTCACCTTGTTGTGCTCAGCCTGTGCCCGCACGGTCTCTGTTTTGGTAGGCGAGGTGGACGCTTCCAGCTCAGACAGGGTCCGTTCCTTTGACTCCAGCCACTTCAGCATGGAGCTTGCTTCCTCTTGGACTTCCCGCATCTTCTCCCGCATGGCCGACAGCTGCTCTTGCCGTCCCCGCAACGCCATCCCAAGGCCCTCATACTGCTGGTTCACATCTGACATGTCGCACTGAATCTCAGTTAAATCTGTTTAGAAAGAAACAAGCCCGCGATGAAGGGTTACCTCGGACACCACTCTTAGCTACACTGCTCGTACTCATACAGCTCTGGACAACCAGAGTCTACTGAGCACCGGGGGCTGCAAACTATGTTCTCCCCATCCGTCCAGGCTGTCGGGTTCCCACTACCTGTCACGCTGGCGAGCCTCTTTCTGTTGTCTCACTTACGCAGACTGACAGTTTGCAAACAAAATTAATAGGAAGGGATTAATCAGCTTGATCCATCTCCTCCTTGCACCCTCTCTGAGTCTGGAATATCAAGCCGTCTTAATACAGGTGTGACCTCCTTGGACAAGTGAACTAACAGCAGGTAACAAGTGATAAAATTAAAATTAAAATCACACTTCCTGCCATTGTAAGTGTTGTCACAACCCTCAGAGCCAATCCCTTGAACAGCAGTTCTTATAACCACCTCCCGTTTATCAGCTCTCCTCACACCCTTGGAAAAGTGTTGCCACTTCCAGAAGCTGGCTTCTCCTCCTCCCCATTTCTGTCCTGCAGGCTGACCTACATCCCCAAACCCAGCCCCTAGCGTGATTCTGGTGACCACCCATCACTCCGGAAAATTAGGTAAGTTATTTGCAGGCTCATTTCACTCGCTACGGTATTGTGGCCATGTCACGCTATGGGCTGTCTCTCGCGAGTGAACACTGCATATACTGCCGTTGTCACATACAGATGGACACAGAGACGGACAACACTGATGCTGCCTTGACCACACACATGCACACGCACAAGTGCACGCTGGCACTGCGGAAGGTGGAGGTCTCACCTTTGCAAGTGTGGTATCCGTTCACACTGCCTACAGACCCTCCTACAGCCGGCAGCCCAGAACCTGAGCAAGGGACGGGGAGACAGACGAGAAAAAGGACAAGACAAACAAGTTAGGGATACGGACACGTTAGCAGTGAGCTTGTGCACCTGGCGCCGGCCTGACCCTTTTTCAGGCCGCTTGCTGCCGACACTGGACACCCTGCAAGCAAAATGCAACCCTGGGCACGAGTAGGTCAACATAGCACGAGACAACAGAGCTCTCCACAAGATGGACCGTGTCAGCCACCAAGCATATTTCTTTCATACTCCTACATTCACAGGTTCTCCCCACAGCGCTCGCTGCCTCTCACTGAGGACTCTGCCCCAGGAATTCGCCTCTCCTCATATCCCAGTGCCCACATGTCATCTCCAACTTCCTTTGTTCTCCACCTCTTTTGCTTTCCTGAATCCCTTCTGATTTCCAGTGGAGCAGCTGAAAGATTGAGTAGCTGTGACCCCTCGCACTAAGGCTTCCCTGCTCCTCAATTCTCTCCAGGGCCTCCTACAGAGTTTAGAAGTGGAGCAGCTTTGGCACACCACAAAGGAAGGGCTCCTAGGCCTCTTCCAGCAGTTGACTCCTAATGGGGTCAGAGGATGCATCGGCTTGCCTATAGTCACTGAGCCAGGGACTGCCAGATATTTGCATTCTGAGGAAGCACTTGCAAAAACCCACGGGAAAGCAATCATCCATGGGAATAATATTTAGAATTGGATATTGCAAGAGGCCTAAGACCTTTCTAGAAGATGTTAACTACCCTACATTCCTTTCTTGGAGAGGGAGGCTGTTCAAAGAGACCTTAGGAAACTTATACCTCTTTTCTGTGTGACTTTTTCATAGTGTTTAAGCCCAGAAGGGAACCCTATGTCACCAGATCTGACTTCCTATCTGGCAGTGACCACAAAGTTGCATCCAGGTACCCGTATGTAAAGCCCAAGCCTTCAGATAGACTGAACCTCTGTGGCTCCAGGCAGGAGAGAGCGCACTGCCCTGAGATCGGAGTCCTCACCCTCTAAACACCTGGCAGCAAGACTGAGGTATTTGGTATTCACACCCTTGTTGGCTTCTCGACTTTCCCTTTGTGAAGGGCCTTGAAGCTACTTTCTGCCTGATGAAAATTTACATAAAACATCTAAAGAATGACAAACGCTCGCAGAGCACAGAAAAACAACAGTGCCGCACATCAGTTCCCACCAAAGCCTGCTGCAGGAGCTCCAGGGCAGCAGGGTACACGCTCACCTGTCTTTGCCTGGGCATCGGGGGCTGTAATCTCGACGATCAGGTTCTCCAAGGCTGTTCCTTTGCGATTGATTTCCTCCACCTGGGCGCTCTTCCCTGCCCATTCTTCCAGAAGAGCCTAGTTGGGGAAGAGAACCAGGTACCCGCAGGCTGAGCTCACCACGTGTGATCTCAATGCCAGACGGCAGAGGGGCAAAAAAAAAAAAAAAAGGTCTTGCTGCTGCTTATACTCACACACTTTCTGGAACAGAGAACTACAGGCTGGTGACTTGACAACTACCCTGGACACACTGCTGTAGGACATGTGTAGGATTCACTCAGCTATGTAATTCCCAGTGACTCACTAACTCCCAGGGAATAAACCCAATTGTTGTCAACCAGTGAAGCTACATGAATCCACTATATTAGAAGCAGGTTTCTTTACCTGTATCTAGTCAAGAGAAAAAGTGTTGTCTTATGGCTTGGCTAATAACTGCTTCCATCACAGGGTACCTCTCTTTTCAAACACAGGTTTGAAAGTGTCCTCCACCCTACCCCGCACACAACCCCAGGCGACTTGTGGATACAGCACATCACAGGGTTCACAGAGACTTCCATCAATCTGGAGCTCCGAGATCTGCTACAAAGGCAGATCCAGGTGAGTGAACAGAACACCACACTCTCTCTGAATCACAGCTATTGAAGCATCTTGATTTAAGGTGTCACTTAGCCGAGAAAAGGATGGGCGTGGAAATGCTGGGGTTCCAGCTGTGTCACCTGGCAGAAGAACCTTGCCACGAGAAGATGGATTTGGGGGCATTTGAAACGGAGCAGCACTGGGGGCAGGTTGTACCCCCTCTTCCTCCAACCCCTGCTCAAAGCAGAGGGCTTTAGGATTTCTTAACGTAATAATATAACATACGATACTATAAATGAAGCCTCTGCATCCATTTCACCACACATTTAAGGATAAAAGATGCACGTGTCAGCATAGGGGATGCAATACAGCTGACAGTCCCATGCAAAAAAGGAACCATCAGCGATGCTCTTTTCTCAGCAAGTGAAGGCTCAGTGAGCTGAAACCACCACAGAAGCTGGCACTGCTCCACCTTGAATGTATGGAAGCCGTAACTGGATTATAGTTAAAGCATAAAAACACCTCCCAGGACACAGTGTCCCGCAGGTCATTACACACTTCTTTGGCTTCCTACTTTCACACTAGCTCTGCAGAGCAGAAGAGGTCCCCTCTGCCCACCTGGATCTGCTGCATGCGCTTGTCCAGCTCCTGGGTGCCCAGGGAGGTCTCTGCCGATGGCACGTTCCCTTCACTGTCTTTCAGCCACTTCCTCACCACACCAACCAACTTTCGGAATTCATCCAATTGCTCCTGGCAGGATGACGCATCCTTTTCTCTGAGAGTGAAAAGGTTTCGAGAGTGAGCTGCTCGTGCTTTGCCTTGCAATTACCATTGCTTGAATATAGCACACTTTTCTCTACTTTTTCCTTTTTTTTTGTGTGTTACTGTCGCTTAGCAACGGTGCTTACCATACCAACCAGAACTATGGCCATAGCTGCAACACACCCCTTTTCCTGCTAAACCATGCTCAGCACTTGACCTTGGATCCATGTGTTCAGCATCACCCTGCCCTGGGAGACCCCTGACTCGCACAGTGGGCACTGTACAGGTGAGCAGCTGTCAAAGCAATCTGCAGAGAGCTGGCAGGTCACAAGGTGGATGCATCACATCCTATCTTCTAGTTACTGCAACAAGGGCTTGGGCTTATCATTGGAAAGGGAAGTCAGGACGTTTGTAAACAGAGCTGAATAGTAAATACCCACGGAACAGATACCAATAGAAGAGTCATAAGCACTGAAAGTGCTCCTACTCTTCCACAGCAACTGCCACGCAGCCCCCACTGGGATACCACAGGACCACGAACCGACGGACCAAATCCATGCAGCAAAAGATGCAACACGTGATCCGACACCTTGCCCATCCATGACTCCACAAAGGGCAAAGGCTTAATGGTCTATGAGCAAAGGAGAAGTCAAAATATGGGGAAGGTGTAGTTTATTCCTATGGCCCTGGAGCTTCTGCCTGCCCCTTGGGGGATACCAGGCCTCCCTGCCCCAGCACAGTTTACTCACTGTGCCTGTAAAGATCAAGCTCTACAGACCCAGGCTCTCTCCTTGCCGCCCCACTCCACAGCCACATGGAGGGATTGCTGATGCCGGTGGCTTCATCAGTGGCATTTTGTAGTGGATGCATAGATGCAGCGCTCAGTAACTTGTGTGTACCATGAGGAGTTTTTTTGTCTCCTCCCCTTCCCACTGCAATCCCTGGAGAGTGCGGAGGTGGTGCATTCACACGTGGGAACACAGCTGAATTCCCTGGGCACTGCTGTCGGGCACCACCAAGATAAAATGGCCCTTGCAAAGGCCTCTTGGATTGCTCAGCAGCTTTTCTTCCCCACCACACTGCATTCAATCCCAAGTCAAGCCCCACAGGTCTCCCTCCCCAATTTTTAAAGCTGCCTGACGTTTGCTGGCACCCCCTGCCCTTGTTGCAAACCCTCCCATGCCAAACAAAGGCTGGAGGGACCAGCAGATGCTCCTAATGATCCGCTCCCCACGAGGAGCGAGGCAGGGCTGATTTGCTGCAGCCTGTGTTCCCTAGGAAATCACGTGGCTGCTCCTCTTACAGCGCAGGCATGTTCACAACACCCCCAGCCGTGCTTATTTTAAATGTCAGCCTGAGGTGACTGTGTGATGCCTGCTGGTGTAGGAGGGAAGCAGAGGCAGAAGTTAACTTATGGCCCCTGCAGGAGGGAAACATCAGCAAGTTCCTGCAGTTGCTACATAACTTCCTACCAGCACCAGGAGGCGCGACCTCTGCAGTCCTGACCCCAACAAGCTGGAACAGGGCATCTCAAGCCTTACCTTTCCTTTGCTACCTTCTGGAGCTGCGTGAAATCCCTCTTCAGGCTCTGCACCATCTCCTGCATCTGGGAGGAGCTGGCTGGGAAGCCCTGAGAGTTCAGCTCTGCAGCCAGGTGCTCCAAGGTATCCAGGTCCTCTCGGTGCTGCCTCATCTCTACATTCAGCTCCTGTCGAGACAAGCGCCAGAAGGAATGAAGCTCCCGCCACGGCTCATTCAAACAGGTGGAAAGGACAGGGCCAGACAGCTCTAGATCCTGGCGAGGGCATTGGGTGCCCTCTTCAGGGCAATGGGATGAATTACACCAGCACTGAGCAAAGCCCCGGGGTTAGGTAGACATCTGTCCCTTCCCCACATCGAAGCGATCTATGGGATTGTTATGGGAAGAGGGCAGTGCAGATACTGTCCCCAGCTAATAGGACACATGGGGACTTCAGGGAGCCTTGATGATTCTGGCCTAAAATCAGTGCCCCCGGGGGCGATTCCCTTTATTGACACTTGAGTAGTTTGGGCTGTACTGATGGATGACGTCTTTAACCAGCGAGAGCTCACCCTATGTGGGCTTGGCTTGATCAAGCTGGTCAGAGTCGCTCCATTAGCTCCCCACACTAACCCACAGCCAGGAGGACTGGACCGAACTATGCTTCAGCCCAGATCAAAGAATCAAAGGCCCCTTTCCCTTCTTCCCATAGCTGGATAAAAAGCTGTTTTAAACCCCACAGACCTCAAAAGTCAGGGATGAAGGCAGGGGGAGACCCAAAACCCAACACTTCGGAGTCCCCCTGCCACCCTGCTCTGTAACAGGAACCTTCCTCCCTGGTTTAGGCAAAGAACTTGCATCTCACCTGGATGTGCTGGGAGAAGTGAGCAATGTCGTGGTCTGGCTGGTTCCCAGAAGCCAGCAGCCGGGCTCTGCTCTCCGTGAACTGCTGCAGCTTCTCAGAGAGCTGCTCGTACTGCTCCACCTTGGGGAGAAGGTCCTTCAGCATGTTCTCCTTCTCCTGCTGCTGCCGGCACAGCCTGTTGAAATGCTCTGTCACCTCTGCCAACTTGTCCTGCAGGGCAGAGGCTGTGGCACTGTCTGCTGTCTCCATGAACCGAGTCACCATTTCTCGAGTGGCTTTGAGGCTGCTCTTCTGCCTAGCAATGTCTTGCTTCAACTTCTGCTTTGAAAGACACACAGAGAGAAGACGGCATCTCAGGAGGGCTCTGAGCAAGCCCAGCTGGCACTGATGGGATGGGATGGGATAGGAATGACTTTCAGAGAAAGTCTGAAAACATCTAGTGACCCTTCCAGCTAGCCAGCCATATTCTCAAGGCTAGTTTTCTTCCCTGGCGCACTCTCCACATTTCTCTCTTTATCTTACACTACTATAAGCTTATCTTCACCCACTCCCTCTGCACAGCCTCCGTTACCTCCCCTTGAGCTTGCTCATGAGTTGAGGAGGTAAGATGTTTCAAGGGATCCGTTTTTCCCAGTTCAATGAAGTCACTGAAGAGGTTTAACACATTTAATGCAACTTCAGCATAATACAATTAAAGCACGGACCATGTCAAGAGGTCTGCACAATTCAGAGACTGGAGACACGGCCTGGACTTTCTACCAACTGTAGGGCTGTAGCCAAGGCAGAGAAGCAACCATCTCACCGCATTTGTGGCAAGTGACTCCTGGATGGAGAGAGACGAGAGAGAAGCTGGCTGCTCCACTCCCATGCTCCTCTCGATCTCAGCCATGGACTGCAGCATATTGTCCAGCCCCTCCTGGACACTCTGGGACTGGGCGATGGCCTTCTGCAGCAGGTCTGCACGCTCTGCCATCTGCTGGGAAAGGCGCTGGAAGTGGCTCACAATGGACTCTGGAGAATTCAACACGAGAGAAAGTCACTGTCAGGTAGGGATCTATGACCACCATCAGGGACCCCTGCCAATGCTGGTAACTAGCCACCACCACCAGGAGGTGCTACGGCTACGAAGACTCACTGCCTGACTCATTAGCAAGGGGACATGCACACCTGGCAAACAAGAGAAATGGGGACCACTGGAAATGGCCATGATTCGAGGGCCACGAGATGTAGCATCCGATAGGAGCCAGCATAAGATGCTTCAAGGGAAGATGAAAAACCCAGCAGTAAGCAGGACTGATAACTTCCCCCTCACACACGAGGAGTTAAGATGCTTAGGCTGAAGGTTGCTGGGGACACAGTGGCTCACTAGGGCTACTATTATAGAAGGTCATTGTGTGGGGGTCTGTTATGTCATTTCTAGGCTGAGAAGACCAAAGTCTCCTCTTTAGTCTTCACCTTTGCACCCCTCCTGCACTGTTCTTCCCCCACACAGAAGTATAAGCCCCTTAAAGGAAACCAGCAGTGTTGTGTGGACAGTTGCTGGCTCAGTGCTGGGCAGTTCTTTCTCTGGCCGGTTAATCACACTAGTGACACACAGGTGTGCGCACACAGTGCCGAAAACAAGCAGACATCACTGGAGCCACTCTCCTGTCCTCCGTCCCCCTGTATGCCTGACCTGGAGAAGTTTCCCTCTAGCGTGTCCACACTTTCCACTCATCCCCATGCAGACAGAGACAGCCGCGCTGCTTAGTACCTGTGGTTTCCTGAACTCGCTTGTGGTCAGGAGCCGGCTCGCCTTGTATTTCCAGCAAGGAACGGGATGCTTTCTGCAGCTTCTCCACTGGCACTTGATGTTCGGCTAGATCTCCCTGCAGGAGCTGCTCCAAAACAAGATGAGACCATTCAGGTCAGCTGTAACATCCACCAAGGAGTGACAGCCCAATTCAACCGCCCCCAAGGGCACACACATGACTGGAACTCCAAGGAGTTTAGGGTTAGATGTCAAGCAAGCAGAGGTTTGCCTCCCCTCCAACCGATAACCCTGAGCAGAGACGTGCCCTGAGAGGGGAGCATTCAGGGTATCTGAGGGTCGCTTACTCTAGCACTGGCAAGCTGCTTCTGCAGAACCGCTGGGTCTGAGGAGACCGGCTCCGAGAGGAGTTTCGCCACCGCCACGTCACTGTCCTGCAACCAGGTCTGGAGAGCATCTGCCACCTCCTGGAACTGCTGGTAGTGGTCCAGCAAGGTGTTCAGATGTGAGCCGAGCTTGGTGCACTGCCAGGAGAAACATGGGGCAAGGATGTGAAACAGGTGCAAAAGCGCTTTGGAAACCACTGCCCTTTCTCACCCCTTTGCTGGAAGAAAGCAGAGATCTCACTAGGGAAAGACTCAGCCTCACCCAGTTGAGGGAAGACTCACATGTGGCCACATAGAGACCGTTATCAGCAAATGTAGTGATTATTATTGCTTCAGCATTGATAGTGGGCTTGTGGCCACATAGGACCTAGAAGATGGCACAGTCCACACTTGTGGAGCTCGGCCCGTCAGGCTGTGTGAATAGGACAGGGATTAGTGCTGTTAAGGTGATCAAGGAACACTTAACAGGGCCGAGTTGATGGGTCAGTTCCCCAGCTCATGCCGAGCCAGAGCCTGCAGGACCACAAGCTGGTGTTGCATAAGGGATTAAGGTGGGTACTTGCTCCCAGGAATGAAGCTACCGATACCTTGGTGTGGAGAGTCGTGTATCTCTGCGTGGCATCATCCAGCTTGCTTTTGACCAAGCTCCCTGTTCCTAAGGGCTCGGGCCCTCCCTCGGCAGCAGCTGCCCTCCCAGCATCCAGCACCTTCTGCCCAGACATGGTGACAAACCGCAGATCCCCTTTGTGCGAGATGACATCCTCCGAGAAGCTCCCCTGGCGAAGCAGCATCGGCCTGAGCGCCTGGGGGTCGCTGTCCCCATGATGCATCCTCTCCAGCTCCTGCTCAGCCTGCACCAGCCAGGCCTCAAACTCCCCATGGTCCCGCAGGAATTTCTGCAGCTCATCCCGCAGCACCTGCACTTGCTTCAGCTGCAGCTCCGACTGCGACAGGGAAGCAGCATACTGCTCCTTCAACTCCTCCAGCCTGCCCTGGAGCCGGTCTCTCTCCTCTGGCTTTAAGTTGTGGCCCTGTTTGTCCAGGAAGGCCTGCGCTGACTGGGTTGCTAGGATGACATCCTGCTGCTGGGACAGCAGCTCCTGGTGGCGTGTCTGAAACACACATGTTAAAAACATACACATTAACACACACACAATGCCTTGTTACTGATATACCACCCTGCTGGCAAACAGCTGACCGTTCCCCTGTACATTGCCAAAGACATTATCTCATTTCGCTAAATGCGAAGTACCCCACCTCATTACACCACCAATACCATATTTTATCACATACAACATGCGTCTTTAAAAAAACAAACAAAAAAACCCAAAAAACAGGTGGTGGAAATTGTAGTGTGCATTATATGCAAGGAAATACGGTAAGAGCAGTTTCTGCCACTCACCAAACAAAAGCCAATGTAAATTCTGCACACATTACAGGGAGCAGAACAAGGAGCAGACTCAGCTGCTGGTACTCACTTACTACAAGGAAAGATCTTGCTTTTTCTTCATTCTGCCATTTAAAAACCAAGTGCATATTTTATTCTGGGGTGTACTGTACATGATAAATATGGTTGCATCTTTGTTTCTCTCTGCCTAGCAAACAAGTTGGTTCCCAAGAATGCCAGAGGCTCCTGCTTGAGACACCAGAGTCACCGGCACAAAGCAAATGCACGCAGACGTTCAACACCAACCCCCACCATTGCCATCATATGGTGGTCGGGTCACTGCACTGGGCAGCACTAGCATTATTAATGGCAAGGCAGGCGCTAATCTGGAAGAGGACATGGAGTCACCCTCACCTTCAGCCTGTCGTACTGCTGCTCGAGGGTCTCTGCAGCTCTGTTCATATCCACCAGGTGACCATCAGGAAGATCCCAGGAGCTTTTCCCCACTTGTTTTCCTGGCATTTGTCCCAGAGAGGGGCGTTTCTGCTCGGAGAGCCCTCCAGCCTGTTCTAACGATCCTACCCAATTTAGAAGTGACTCAATCTTGCTCCTGCTCTCCTCCAGTTCCTTGGCAGCTTTCACCTGGAAATAGCATAACTAATACGTAAGCTGAGGACAACTCTTGACTTTCTTCAAGCTGCTGTCTCAGCAAAGGGCAAGAGAATCAGGCCTGTACAAGGGGTGGCATTCCTCCTCTCCAGTCCACCGCTCTGCCCAAGACTCTCAAAGAACTTCAAAATGTCCCCAGCGTCCTTTTACCACATAAAACTCCCCACATGCATCTGTAAATAGGCACATCCATGCAACCAAAGTCATTCTGCAATTCTCACCCCTGTTCAAGGGAGTTCATGCTTTTAATTAGCTAACAGGGTCCCCCTCAAGCCAGATACAGAAAGTGGGTGTGTGGGTGGCTCCAAGCATGTTATTTTTACTTCTGTCCCATCAAAGTATAGGAGTGTCAGGGCTTATGTGAAGGCACCAAGATATCTCTGAGTTATCAGAGGCACCAGCTTACTCTGACAGCTCCACTAGAAGTGCAACCAATTGCTCAAGTCAGAGCAGAGCTCCTCTCCTTCATCCCAGGCCTTCCTTTCATTACCACCCCCAGCACCCAATGCTTAGAGATCTGGGGTGGAGAGATGTTTTACAATATGTGGAGGGAAACTGAGGCACACGGTGGGATGTGACTTGTGCAGCGGAGCAGTAGCAGAGCCAGGACTAGAGCACAGGGCATTCCCGAGTCCCAGCCCAGGCCACTGCCTTTCTGTAAAACGCCTGCCCCACGACAGCCCCGGATGTGTTACCTTCTCGGTCTCCTGCTGCACAGCTGCTGTCACAGCACTCTCCAGCTCCTTCTGGGCCACCTCGGTCCTCTCCTGCAGAGACTGGTATTGCTTCTTTGCATGATGGAGCCTCTCTTGCAAGGCTGCCAGCTCCTTGGGGTTCATCTTAGTCCTATTCTCCTCTAAAAATTCTTCTGTTGCTTTCAGGACGCTGGCAAAAGAGGCAGCCCGAGTCTGCATGTCCCTCTGCAGGGCCTGGGAACACCACAAAAAGACAGACAAAGACTTTAGGTGCCCACTGAGCAGCTCCTCGATTCCCTCCCCTGCCTTCGTCTTCCAGCACTGACCTTAATGTCACTTTGTCTCTGTTTCAGTGTGGGCAGGTCCCCTTTGCTGGCTGCTCTCTGCTCATCTGCTAGCGTGGTCTCAGCCTGCCCTAGCCAGGTGCAGACCTCCTCCAGCTTCCTGCTGCGCATGGCTTGCTGTTCCTGGAGTGTCTGGTTTTAAAGGGAAAGGGAAAGGGAAAGGAAGCAGTTTAGACCCGTGCCTCGGCCTGTACTGCCACATTCCTGGAAAGCAAAGCAGTAGGGTTACAGTTTGAGCATCTTCCTGATGACAAGGATGCAGCACAGAAGACGCCTTTGGATGCTCTCTGCAGGCACTCCCTCTCCAGCACAGATCTGCAGGCTCCATGACTGGGGGGGTCAGGGTCCAAAGTAGCTGCAGAACTACAAGTATGTCAAGGAAAGAATCTGCTTAAATTTACATTTCTCATCCTCTGGAGGGTTTTCTCTCTTTTAAACAAGCCTTTACAATCTCATAGGGGGCAGCAGGCCAAATTGTACAAAGCACGGTCCAGTTACCCAAAGAGGCTCTCAGTCTTAAGATTAAAATCCATGCAGAACCTGGGCAAGAAAAGCCATGTCTAGACAGGCTGACCATGCAGAATGACCTGACGCAGCACTGCAGCCAGGGAGCATCAACTAACCTAAAGCAAAGTGACATCAGGGTGGGAGAGAGAGTGCCTAGGAGGGACCAAGTGTTTCTGTAGCCGACCCAGCCCCTAGATTTTTGCCACTGGTGCACAATACAGTAGCGCCTATTTGAGCAATTGAGCATGATGTGTGACCCTGACCGTCCTTATAACACTTCTTCTCTTCACCAGCAAAAGCTTCTTCTCGTGCACTACCAACTAAACATACACACGTGTGCAAACAGACGCGCTTGGGTCTCTCAGTCTTTAAGACAAACAAGAGAAGCAATTGGAAAGAGTGTCCTTAAGAGCTTGTCGGCTGCAAAAGCGAGATCTTCCTGGGTTAGGGTGGGTGCACACTGAATCTGAAAAAGCAAAGCAAACCGGTTAATACACACACAATGATGGGAGAAGCCGAGCGTTACTGAGAGCGATGGTTAATACAAACATGAATACTGTCTCGAGTGAAGGAGGGGTGCATGCAGTTATGTGGGCTGCAGGAATATAGCAGAGAACCGAGGGATTTAGTTGGCGTGGGTGCTGTGTGCTTCTACAGGCAGGCAGCATCCAAACAGCTGTTTCTCTCGTGTCTGCCACATGCGAATTATGCAAAAAAGGTGGGAAAGGAACAGCACGGGCTCTCACTGCTGGTGAGCAGCACCAGTCTGTGCAGCTATCTTCTCCGATGGACCTGATGGGGACTAGGCTGGGTCCATTAAAACCAAAAGCACTTGTGATCTCAGCTCGACCTGGTCACTTGCCCACAGCTGAGCGCCAAAGGGACTGGCCAACTGTTCTACGAGGAGCCCGCTGGGAGCTTCCTGGTCCTGAATGCTTTCAAAGGGAAAGCATGAGCTCATGCCTGTGAAAGCTGGGAATTGTGGAGGAGGAGGAATCAAGCCTCTTGAAGGAGCTCATGACGTGCAGGGTGAAGTTATAAATCCTGACAACAACATGCAGGCAGAATCCAAGAGCCGAGCACGAGGCGTTTCACCGCACACGCTCCAGGCTGAACACAACTCTGTTAGCAGACTGCAGCCGAGCTGCTCCCGCCCCGCGACTTTCACCTGATCTGTCTGCTCCACTTGACGGAGACAGACCTGCAGGACCTCCACCTGAGCTGCCACACGCTCCGACAGCTCCCGGAAAGCCTTCTGCAGCTCATTGAGCAGTCTCAGCAGCTGCCGGCTTTGCTGCGGTGTCAAGTCCTGAGCATGCTCGGAGATAAAGAACTGGATGTCGAACGCGATGGCATCCAGCTGAGATTTATTGTCAGCAAGGGGCTGTTTTAACTCCTAAATGGAAGGGGAAGAGATAGATTAAAAAAAATAAAAAGGCTGTTTGTGAAATAGCTCCTCATCTGTGTGCCATTTCTTAAACAGTTGGCTTTGAACAAGACCCACGAACAAACAGGATGCTTCAGTGCAGCAGCTGAGGTGGTCCAGCCAGGTGGTCTCCCCTTGGGACACTGTATGTCCACACATGATGGACTGACAAGGGCTACTTTCTGACTCTCCTCCTAACCCTTAATTCCAGGCCTCCCAAGAGCTTTAGAAAAACCCAACCTTATCGTGAGGGTTTCAACAAACCCAGTTTTTCTTGGAGTATTTGGCACGGCTCTGAAGATGCCCCTAGCTACAGAAATAAGAGGTTCCAGCCCATACGCCAATAGTCCTCAACTGCCTTGTTCTACAGCAATCCGCGCTCGGTCCGTGAGAGGTTTTCACACTACCTCCTCTCAATGCTTGGGTCTCAGGAGCTATAGCTTGGGGAGCCATGAGGAAAAGCTTGACTGCCCACAGCTGAAGTGTCACAGCCAAGAGGTGGTAAAGAAACTGTGTCAACTGATAAAGACCCCAGAGAGCCCAGGGAGAGGGTCCCACGCTTCATATTTGTGTGCACCGGCCTGCCGTCTTAGAAGGGCTGAGCGGTAACAGGCGGCTTGAATCACTGCTGACACAGAGTCAAACCTCTGCTCGCTTTCTCCGTGCACTGCTTCACTGCTCGTCAGCTCAGAGAACCTGAGCCCTGAAAACGAGGCCAGAAGCCCGGCACGCCCATGTGCAATAATTGACAATGCTGGGAGAGCCCGGGAGGAGGACGAATTCAAGGCATCCGTGCCCTGCAGGAGATCACAACTTTATCTGCAGGGATTAGAGGCGTTGCTATGGTTACCGTGTAATGTTGAAGGCTGCGGTTCAAGCCGTTAGCATCCCTTGCGTTGTGATAATCGCTGCTGTCCAGCACTCGCGTGGTATCGCAGACCCAGCTCAGCAGCTCTTGCAGTTTGCCCTGGAGCTTTTCACACTGCGTTAGGATCTTAGCCTTAAAAAGGGAACAAAAAGCGCTACTGAAACGTGGGGCATGACTGAAGGAAAAAGCCCGGGGCTCGCTTGGGTTGGGAGTTTCAGCAGGGCACGCAAGGCGGAAGCGCACTTGTGAGCGGTACCTTTTCAGCTTGCGCTGTGCTGCGGAGATTTAGCAACCGGGAGTCCAGGACATCACTCGCCGAGCTCAAAGACTTCTGAAGGTTCTTGGCGTCTTTCTCCAAAGCTTTCAGTAATTGTTCAGGGACCTCTTGGGGTGGATTGGCCATGATCCACTTCACTGAGTCCAACTCCCGATTCACTGGAGAGCACAGCTCCTTCAGTTCTGTGTCCAGGACCTGGGGCAAGACGGCATCATTAAGTCCGAGATACAGTGACTTCATCCCCTTGCTGCCAAAACTGACAGTAAGACAAAGGCTGGGATAGCTGGATCTAAACAATGCGTGCATCAGCTAGAAAGATTCATTACAATCAGCCAGTTCATCCAGCTGCTCTTGGCTAGCCAGATCATGATAACCCTTTTCCTGGCAATAGCAGGCACACTTAGGCTATTGTTCAAGCATGGGTGAAGACCTGAGGCATAAAATAAGAGACATGCACTCTGTGTTTGTATTTAAAGACCTTTCAGGTCCCAGACCAAATTCCCCAGAGTGCTCAGAAGGGCCAATAAAAACCTGCAACGGGATCTACCATCCCAATATGCGAACCCTGAAAAAACTAACCCTGAAGAAGGAAGGACATGCAAATCAGAGCAAGTCCAGGACAGTGGCTTTCTCTCACCTCGGCCTGACGCAGCAGGTCTTGCAATGCTGCCAAAGTCTGTCCAGTGGGCTGAACATGCTTAATTCTCATCTCGATATCTCGGAGCATAGAGAGATAAGAGACCAGCTTCTCATCGTGCTCCAGACACTGCTTTTTGCTGACCACAGTCTGCAGAGTTAGAAGAGAAAACAAATTTCAGGTTTCCAAAGAGACAAACCAGAATCACGCATTGGAAAGAGCGCTCAGACTTTTCTCTCCCAGTAACTTTTTACTTTAGGGACTGCTCATTCTCTTATCTACAAGATGTACTGGGAAGAAATGAAATGCATGCTCCTCTTCCAACATAAGTTTAAAAATGGCAACAAATCTGCAATGTTATAGTCAAACTGCTAAACAACAGGCCTACAGATTAGTCATTTATAAGCAACATTCTGGTAAAGAAGAAAAAAAACCCTGCGTTTCAGTTGTTTTCCCCCATACATCACAGTTTCATTTGCCAAATCCATTTCGACTGATATCGTTCGTCTAGCACTGCGTGTCCTAATAGGATCCCTAGACTCTGTAGATGCTTCCTGCTGTCAACTGCAGTTGCCCAAAATATTCCTCACTGGTATCAAAAAAAGAAAACATACAATATTTTTTTGTTTTTTTTAAAGAAAACCACAGTTACCTTGGCTGGTTTTGTGGATTCCTTTGAAGTTTCTTGCAGTCTCTCCCCATCTGTCGTAGTCACGCACAACTGCTGAGCTGCGTGGCTGTCCTCTCCGGTTATCTCATGGAGCTCTTCGCTTTCTGGTTGAAGGGCTGCGGAGGAGGCTTCTTCACCGCCGGTGAACTCTAGAGTCATTTCGTGCAATGCCTGCTCCTCTAGTCCAAGGGCCACAGAGGACTCATGATCCCCTCTGGTCCGCAAGGCAACTGGCCTTTTCTCTGCTAAAAAGGTCGTCGGAGAGAACTCATCTTTGACTTCCTGTCCGATCATTTCTCGGGACATCCTTTCCTGTGGCTGAACTGCCGCAAAGAAACCCAGACCATTTCTGATCTCTCTGCTTGTCTGCTGGGGCGTGACGCTTTCTGGGGTAATGGTCATTTGCTCATCCTCCACAATGTGGTCTTTAGCTCCCAAGGCAATCAGCTTACCTTCTTTTTCAGCCATCTGCTCCTCACTGATCTCAGTTTGCTTTTGTTCAGCCACATCCCCAAGCAACCCGCCAGCTAATTCCTCGGTGGGAGTTTTGCGCTTTGGTTCCTGAGCACTTGAGATCAGCTCCTCCTCAATCGTTCTCAGCAACGTTTCTTTGGCCTCCGGGGTAGGAAAGGCCCTTTTCTCCTCGGACGATTTCTCCAGCAGCGTGGCTTCTTCTGGGACACCGCCCTGCCCTGCCTTCTTTTTCTTGGTTTTCTTTTTTTCCGTTAGTTTTAGATCAGCTCCACTCAACTTTTTGGGACCACCAAGACTTTCTGCAACCGGGGTCTGGGGCCGAGTTTCAGGATGCTTCCCTGCGACCTTGTCCCCCAGTCTGTTTTCCGTGCGTTTCTCGTGAACTGCAGTCTTCAAGGGTTCGTTGGATTTTGTGCGAGCCTTTTCTTCCCTGCCTTGATCCAACCAGATGGACTCCTTTGGCCCTGTCTCTACCGCTCCTGATCTGTCCATTGCTTCTTCTACCCTCACTGTCCTCTGGCTTCCTTCGGAAACAACCGCTGCCGCCACCTGCTCTTCCTGTACCCCAGCTTTCTCCATCTTGTCTTTGTCCCTGCTGCTTTGAGGCCCCGTTTTGTCAGCAAACCACTGCTCTCCCGCTACCCCCAGCCCCTCTCTTTCTTCTGGCTCCTGAGCTGCTACTATGCTCCCCACCAAGTCCTCGTTCAGAGGTTTTTTAGCCCGTGCTTTGCTTTTTCTAACCCCTTTTTTCTGCATCTTTGCCGCAGCCACTTGTGGAGTTGGGCGTGCTACGTCTAACATGGAGGGAGGCTCAGGGACCGTGGCAGCCTTGCCTTGGGGTGGATCGATCACAGGGCGCTCTGAAGTTTCAAGGAGAAGTGGTTTCAGCAGTTCCTCTACTGCTGCATGTGACGTCTTTCGTGATTTTTCAGAAGCAACATCAGTCTTGTCTCCAACTGACTTGTAGTCCATTACTTCAGACCCAGCTGTGTGTTCAACAGACTTCTCATGACCATAGGGAGCCAGCCTTTCCTCTCTGGCAGCTATGTTCTCCGCTACCTTCTGGGGACGGCCTTCGCCCAGCCCTCCAGGAGCAGACTTGTCACTGGGCAGGCCAACAGCCTCTTCAATAGCAGCAGTTAGCTCTTGGCTGATCAACCCTCTCTCAACAGCCTCCTTTAGAGTTAACCTCTCTCCGCTGTCGGGGTCGACAATTCCTCCCGTCTTCACTTGGCGGGATGCAATGATTCTCGCCATTTCCACATCCACCAGGCCTCGTTCCAATGCAGACTTCAGAGAGAGTCTGTCACCATTATCGACTTTCACGATCCCACCAGTGTCCGCTTGAGCCTGCAGGACTCTCAAAGTGGGCAGGAGGTCCGCTTTCCCCAGCTTTACTGCCTGGGCACATGTGAGCATGCGCCCAGTCACCTCGTCCTTCATTGCTCGGAAGGGATGAATTTCCAGATACCTCTGTCCAGATTCGATGTCAATTTTGCATTTCTTTATCAGTTCGGAGTAGGGGACGAGCATGCACGTCTCGGGATCTACAATCCCGTGTCTCATTTCAGATGACGCCATGGCTTTTTCCACCACTGGCTCAGGCAGCAACCCTTCCTTGACAGCCTGGGACAAAGTCAACCTCCCACCAGAGACAGGATCAAAAACACTTCCACTCAAAGCCTGTATTTCTTGTACTTTACTTTGAAGCTCTGGGTTAGCCAGCCCTGATGACACTGCCTGACGTAAAGATACACGTTCCTTGGTTTCTGGGTGAACGTAGCAATGCAGACACACACTTTCAGCCTTCAAGAGCTCTGTACACAAGTCTCGATCAATTAATCCATGTTGCATTGCATTACTGACAGACAGTCTCATTCCAGACGCGTGATGAATAATTCCACCATCAGCTATCTGTTTGGTCAAGAGCTGACGGGCTTTCTCCTTGTCGAGCAAACCTCTCTCGACCGACTGGACAATGGTCAAAGGCTGTTTGGTTTTAGGATCCGTAATTCCACTCGTTTCAGCTTGTAAGCCAACCAGCTTTTGTCTTGCTGTCTCATCAGTGCCTTTTCCTTTAGACGCTTTCTCCAACTTTATAAGATCTTCTTGACCAGAGGGCTCTATCAAGCCAAGGTTTGAAGCCAAAGTGACCGATATTTTTTTGTCACGTTTCAAATCAACAATTCCTCCAGTCACCACTTGTCCTTCCAAAATCCTCGCTGCTGTTTCCTTGTCCAAAAGGCCAATCTCCGCGGCATCCTTGACTGAGTAGATGGCATTGTTACATGGGTCAAGAACACCACTGATGGCTTTATCACAGGCCAGCACCTTCTGCAGGAGCTTCTCATCCATCAGACCTTCATTAATGACTTCATCGGTGGTCAACGATTCACAGGTTTGGGAGTCAAAGAAGCCATTGAACATTTTCATTTCCTCCATCACTTTAACAGCTGTGTGGCTGGGCACCACACCGCAGGCTACTGCTTCGTTCAGGAGAAGAGTCTTGCCTGTCTGCTCGTGAAGTATGCCACCGCCTCGGAGTTGCGCCACGAGCATTTTCAGAGTGTTGTCTCCTTCCCGTTCCCCAGGATGCTGGATTAGCAAGGACGGTTCATCAATACCGTAACCAACTGATACTTCTTTCATCGCCTGTTTTTCTACTTCCAACGCTTTTGCACTCTGGGCTTTTTCTGATTGCCTTTCTTCCATTTCCTCCTGCCCAGTTTTAGGAGGCTTCATCTCCTCTCCTTCCACTGATCTGCTCCCAATTTCTTCCTTCTGGAACAAACGGACTTCCTCAGTTTCTTCCGACTCCACTTCCGCTTCCCGCCTTCCTGGAATTCCCTCTTCTACGATTTCTGGTTTCTCTAGGTTTTCCGGTAGGGCCACAGAAATACAGGTTTCTTCTTTCACACCACCCATTGCAGGTTCAGGTGCTCTGTCTCCATGTTTCAAACTCCTCGCTTCATCTACTGGAAGTACAGGAACCCCAGGAGCTTTTTCTGCTTCCACCAGCATTTCCTCTGGTTCTCCAGGCTTCGTCTCCGAGCTAATCCCACCGGGGTCACGAACAGATTCTTGCCTTGACGATTCGAACAGGCTTTCAGGCTTGGTTGTTGCCAGTCTTTGTTCCTTTCCCAGTTCACTATCAATTTGGCTCTTAATGGAAACAGGCTTTACAGTCTTCCCCTGATCCTTCATAATCAATGCTTTTACTTCATCTTCCAGCGGAGCACCTCCAGTTGCTCTCTGCGCCTTCCTGCTCTCGGGAAAAGGTTTTGGTGGCGAGGGCTCTTTACACTCTTCTGTTGAAGGGGCAACTTGAATTTCAAGTTGTTTTAAAGCCAAATCGTTACCGGGCTCCCTTTCAGGAAACGCACTCCCCGTGACTTTTACCTCCTCAAGAACTTTGAGTTCATAACTCTCTTCTCTCCCTTCCACCAAGTCAGCATTTGATCCATTTTCTTGTGCCTGTAAAAAGGCTTTAGTTAAATCATTTAATTTCTCATCTACTAAGAGCAGTTTGTGGCCATTGTGGATGTTGATATAGCTGTGGGTCATCAAATGGACCATCAGCCTTTCATCTTCGCTCCTTGGCAGGGAGTCACTTTGCTCTTCCTGACCTGGAGGGCTTCTTCCTGCAGAGCTCAGGCTGAGTTTGCTTCTAGCTGGAGAGCCTGCCAGCTGCATGCTGGGCATCACATCCGGTATAGCAATTGATTTTAACCTTTTCGCAACCTCTCCCTCCAAGACGCCCTGCTCCACTGCCTTCTTCCAGGACAAGATCTCGGTGGTTTCCGGAACGAAAAGAGCCTGGATGAACCGTCTCTTGTTGAGAACTTTACATGCCAAGTCTGTAGACAGGAGGCCTTGTTCCAGGGCATCTGCAACAGGCAGGATCTCACCCGACTCAGGCCACAGCAGCCCCATAAAGGACCAAAGGGATTCCAGGATCACCAGGGCAATCCTGGAGGCTACTAAATCCTTCTTGACTGCCTCATCGATGGTCAATCTCTCTCCTGTGATGGTGTCTATGATGCCACCTGTCTGCACTTGTCGGATTAAGAGCGCACATGCCATATCCTGATCAATCAAATAATGTCTGACCGCCTCATCCACTGTCAGCCTGTGCCCTGTCTTGGGATCTGCAATGCCACCAGCAAACAGCTGGGCTTCCAATAACCTCACAGTTACCTCCCTATCAATTAAGCCTTCCTGGACGGCACGGAAGATGCTAACTTTCCTGCCTGATTTCAGGCTCACCATCCCACCTGCCAGCTGCTTGACAGGGAGCAACCGGAGGCCAGTCTCCTGGTGAACGATGCATCTCTGCATTAGCTCTGTCAGGCTGATTTTCTCGGCAGTGTTGGGGTCGATCACGTCCCTGGCTGATCTTAGACGAGATACCAGTTTTGAGTGAGTCTGAGTGGTAATGAGGCCTTTCTGAAGAGCCTTCTCCATGCTAATTCTGTCCTGACTTGAAGGGTCTATAAAACCGCCCGTGACAAGGTGAACTTCTAATATCTTCAGGCCAATGCTCTCACTAATTTTCCGCTCCTCTATCGCAGCAACAACAGGCAGAAGCTGTTTTCTTTCAAAGCTCATTTGATCTATCAAATGAAGGGCCTCCTGCAGCTCCTGCAACCGTTGGAGCATCCTGTCATCAACAATGTTTCTTGCCAGGCTTTCTGCCAAAGAGAGTTTCTCGCTGGTCTCAGGAACAACCAAGCCAGACATGATAAGCTGAGCTTCCAGCAGTACAAGACCCGTGTCCTGGTCTATGAGACCTTTCTGCATTGCACCAAAGACAGGGAATATCTCCACTGTGCCAAGGTCTATCACTCCTGCGACTGTTTCAGTCCCCTAAAAATGGAAAGAGAAAATAAAAAACAAATTAGAACCACAGAGGCTGGTGAAAGCAAGCTACCAGAGTAACTGCAATGCATCAAGTTCAGGGATGTCTCTACTTCCAAAAAAAAGAGTTAAAAGAAACCCCCTAGACAGCAGATCCCAAAGTGCAGCTCCCAATGCATCCCAGCATCTGGATGGCCTCTGACTTGCACGTCATCAGCTGTGTTTTAGGGCTCAGTTTAGTCTACCACATGGGGCAGCACTGAGATATTCAGACATCCACCATGATGATAATGCAGCAAAAGCAGCAAGCAGCAAAAACCTGCAAGGTTTTCCAAAGTGTTCAACAGAAAGAGAGAGAAAGACACATGAAGACAGACACACTTTGGCCTTTCAATATTGCAGTTCAAAAAGACAAAATGAAGCCCACTGTGTGCTATTCTTATTCACCTTTGGGGCTTCAGAACTGCCCTGCTGTTTTACTGCTCCTATGCTGCCCGCCATGCACAAATAATACTCTTCACTTAGCAAATGTGCAGTGCCAGCCACCGATAAAAAGAAAGGAAGCTCATGGCATATATCAACCTATCTACAGACCAGCCATGCATCAAAGGGCAGTGAACTTGCTTCTGATCATGCAAGAGGGCTCCAGCGGTGCATCCTCCAGTACTAGCCACCACGATTTCCCTCACTGTAACGTATCAGAAATAGCCCTGCTCTTTAGTAGGCAAGGCAAAGCCTCAGGAAATAATACAGCTCTTGGCTAGAATAGGTCCCAGAGTGGGAAACCATGCAATTGGGACAGAGGCTCACATAGCATATGGTTCAGGTATTTCCAGAAAGTCTTTTCTCTTGCTGGTAGTAGCACAAGAAAAGGCAGGCTTAGAAGAGAGCAGGTTTCTTGCAGATCCCCATGGGAATAAGCACTTCCTACGCTGCACATGGTTTAGTTATCAGCTTGTATAAACTGCTGCTTATGCAGAAGATGGACACACGGTGCTGGGCGATTCCCTTGGGATACATGGAAGGAGGAGCTGGGAATCTCAGCTTGGGGAACTATGGAAGAAATGTAGTTTGTACCGGTCCAAGGAGCTAAGAGCTCTCAAATCAGGAAATCTGTCACTGGAGTACTACATGGCTGCTGTGCTGCTGGGGTGAGATGGCCAAGGATGATTTGGTTTTTCCCCTTGTCCTGATTCAGCAGCATAGATGGGGTGACACATTAAAGAGCCTTTGAATTTGTTATCACTGCCACCAGAATCAAACCCGAAAGCTTGCAAAGGAGAATTTTTCCAAGGATTTGAGTTGGTCTAATGAAAGATATCAGCTTCACCCAAAGACCCTTGTCTGCCTGTGTCCTTAGACCAACGGGGCTACAACCCGCACCCCCACAATCAAACATGCACACTCCACACCGAACAAGCCAGAGAAGGACAGAGGGAAAGAGAAAGTGAGAAAGGACATAAAAAGCTTTTACTTACCAGAGTTGCAAGGCGTGCCTTGAGCAGTTAAAGACAGAGCCTTATGGAGCAGCTCAGGCGTGTCACGCACACAGGGTAAAGCTTGGGGTTAGCGTCCAGCATGCGACTGTTTTGTTTTGCGAAAAAAAGAGCCCCACACACAGGTCGTCCTCTTTGTCACTTTGTGGGGTTTGGGGTTGTGTGTTTAGAGTCCGGAGGGTTAGTTAAACTTGTAAGCAAGGATGTCAGTTAATCTCAACAATAGTTGACATGAAACACAAACTGTACAGGGACACATCATGCTCAATGTAGCGCGCTCTGTAGTTCGGTTTTTTGTTTTTTTTTTTTGCTTTTGTCTTTTGAATTTTATAACCTTTCAGAGTCGGATGTTTCCAGCAAGCAAATGTTAAAATATCCTTCATACGCTGCCTTCTACAATGAAGCAACTGTACCAAACGATAGCCTCAAAGATGTGTTTTTCCCACAGGCCAAGCATCTACAGCAAAGGCCGAAAGGGGCCTCTTCGGAAGAGCTATAACCCTCCTCTCATTTCAGGCTTCCCCAAGCGTGCCAGCGAGCCTGCTCTTTTCTTATAGTCTTGTTATTCAACAGGCTGTACGCAGGGGGTCCTGCCACAACCACACACCCAAAGACAACCCCTCCCTCCTCAAAGCAGAAATGTCTTTCCATGCTGTTTCAATAAAACACAGCAAAGTCAAGGGAAAACTTCAGTAGGAAAATGTTTGCCTTCCTGGGGCTGGATATGGGAAAGGCAAGAATGAACGCCTTGCACCTTTTTAAAGTACGGGGCTGTTCTTAGCCTCCTTTCTGGCAGCAGGGAAGGTAGCAACAATGATGTGAATGCTTCACTGGTGAGTCTGGTGGCTTAGAGGCCAGGAGCCTTGTGTCTGCAACGTTGTCTGCTGCTGGAAAGTGAGCTAAAAATGACAACTTAAAAAAAAGACCTGGATGGAGACAGCTGAAATGTTTTAACACACCTCTATGGACTGCTTTACTTCTGTGCACGCAGCACTGAAAACGATAGGAGCCTGAAACATGCCAAACTGTCACCCTTTCCTCTGGGTCTGGAATGGGATCTCGCTCCCTCGCCAACCAAGTCTGAGTTTTGGCTATCACAAAAGCATATCTGAATTGGCCAGTGCTTCAAAGTACAGGCAGCTAGCAAGCAAACGCACAGAGATATCCATTGGACACATGTATATACACTTACATACACATACAGGTATATTCATGAATGACTGAAGACAGTAAACACCAATAACAGAGGCAATAAGAAGGAACTTCAAACCCTTCCCTCCCCATGCATGAGTGCAATGTGAAATGGAGACCAACAGAAATGTCACTGGATGGGAATGGGTGATGGGCAGGGGTCCAGCCACTGAGTCAGTGAAGGTCTCAGCTTAGCTGAAGGCCTATGGGGGCTGGCATTCAAGATGGAGAGGAGCTCGCTTCCAGGCTGCTCAAAGCAGGCACATGGCTCACTAAGCCTGCTTCGCAATTTCTGCACGGACACGTGACGAGGGTTGCCCTGTGCGTCCATCCTCATGCAGATACCATCCTGCTGCAAAACGCAGTGACAAAGCCTTTGCAGCTCCTTTTCCTTAAGGAAAACCCAATGACCACTGTCTCGCTTTGAGAGCAGAAGTCCATCTCAAACCTGCTTCGCTGCAAGAGCAAGTCAGCTCTGCAGCTCAGGGAGCAGCTCCCATTAGCTGTATTGCAGGGAACTGTCTCCTGCTGACCTGGAACTGAATACAGAAACCTCTTCTGCTTGGCCTCTAGCAACCAACTCAGCCCGGACCCCCTAGTGCAATGTATGGGACAGAATGGAAGGGAGGCAGATCACGTGCGATTAATAACAAAGCCAACGGGCTGTGAATGGCTGGTGGTCGTGAGGCACGCAACCAAGCAAAGCCTCTGTCACACCTGCAAGAAAGGTCACATATCATATTTAGGCAGCTCTTGGATAGAATGGGAAAGGTACCTTGTTCTCAGTCTCCTGAGCCAGCTGGCTCTGAAGTTGTTGGAGCTGTTCTGTGGAGTCATTGCAGAGCTGCTGGTAGGTCTCCTTTAGAGCACTGAGTTGGGTAGAAATCTGCTCCTTCTCATAGTCAGAAAGCCTGCAAGAGGGGGACGCAAAGTCTCTCATTAAATCTAGAGAAAACAGCACTCAGCTCCATGAATTTAGGATTTTGTTCAAAGGAAAGAATCCTGCAAGCACAGAATGCTGCTACCAAAAGGCCAAGCTAATGATGTGCCACGGAGACCATGGCACAATGTGCTAATGGCACATAAAGACCATGGCACAAAGGCCAAGCTAATTACAACCATTGTCCCATCACAACCTGAATTTGTCCGTATCACAAAATTTGTGCTCCATGGTCCCATTCTCCTCTTTTTTTTTTTTACTGACCACTACACGTTGTACTTACTTGTGGCCATGTTTGGCTAGGAAAATCTGGGCAGTTTTGATGGCCTCAGAGACTTGCTCCTTTTTTGTAGCTAGTTCTTCATTAAGTGCCTGTTGAAAAGAAGAGGGAAGCTACAATTCAGAGGTGGGAAACACAAGCAGAAGCTACAGAAGTGCTCCAAGGCTATAGCCTACGCACAGCACTGCAGCAAAAAGCATCCAGGCTGCTTTGCTTTCAGCAGTTTGGAGATGCTCAGCTGGAAACAGCAGAACAAAGTTTTAGTCTGTACAACATTAGCATGAAGACGACCAGATCCTCAATGTGCATATGCCAGAGAGATGGAAGGAAGCAGGATCCCTGCCTTACCTGCTGCTCAGAGATGGATTTCTCAATGTCTCCCAGCTCTTTGCCCTTGGGTGAGACGGCCTTGACTTGCGTGCTCTGCTTCAAACCAGAAACCCAGGCCAGGAGTTCTTTCACCTTGTCCACGTGCTCCTGTTTTTCTTCCTCGACTACTTTCTACATGTGGGGAAGACAGAAAGATAAACCACGTTAATGAAAAGGCAGACCCAGAATTCCCACTGCCAGAGACCAGCAACAAGCAGGTAGAATCTTTTGGGGGACAGATCCGACAAAGTCCACGTGATGTAAAGCTGCAAAGAGGACAATTTGGGGCTTAGGCAGCGGGTAACCATTTGTAGATGCTATTAAGTGAGCCTGCATGTTCTGCTTATGCCAGTTTTTCATTTGGTTCTATAAAATAACCTTACTTCCTCCTCCTCCAGCCGCCGGAGAGCATCACTGATGTACTTCACGTGCTGGGTTGTTAGTGTCACCAGAGCCGTATAGCGAGTCCGTAAATCCATGAACTAAGGAAAAGAACAAAGTGCAGATTTCAACCCCCCCGAGGTCACAGAGCCGCAGTACTTTGCAGGACACAACATGGGCACAGCACCTCTTGTTCAGACGGATCCCAAGCACTTCCCAGGCGAGACATGTTATAGCACTGCTGACAAGCAGCTCTGAAATGGGCAGCAGTGGCCACCTGAAGCACAGCAAGCTGCACAGCTAGGGAGTGAAAGGTAGATTTGGGTCCAAGACAATGCACTGAACCCCCTACGCTCTTCTGAAAATGGCCATGGGATCTTTAGAGTCCATATGAAGCAGACTGGACCTTGGCTCTCAAAAGTCCACACACAGCATAAAGTATGTACAGTAGAAAGTACGCTGTGGACTTTGGAAGGACAAAAGGCTGAATTGACCCTTTTGGGATTTGAACTTGTGCTCCAAGGATCTAGGTCATATTCAAAGTATTAGAGTCTGGTTTCCTGGCCTCATAATGCAGAGCAGTGGGGAAAGGCTCCTCTCCTCTTAACTAAACTAGCAGGAAGCAACTCGTCTTTCCTTGTCCCCAGCACCTGATTTTATTAGCCAATAATAATAAAAAAAACCCCACTCTTCCCCCACCAGGCTAGAGCTGGAAAGCAAGCAGACTCCTCACCTCTTGCGTGATGGCATCTGAAGACGACAGCATGCGTCTGCGTTTCACAGGAGACTTCTGCTGCGATTCAACAAATGCCCTGTATGTCATGAGCTGCAGCTCGTAGTCCTGGAAGTTAAAGGCAGAAGGTGATTTTGTGTTGGGTGTTTAATTAAGCTCAGTGTTTTGGAGTCCCTGGGCAGCTCATTCAACCGGCCTCCCACCGCTTGGTGCTGGAATCACTGCTGACAACAGCTGAGAAGTTTGTTTCTCCTTAACGGCTTATGAGAACGGAAGATGAAGAGACTATCCCCTCCCGCCCCCAAACCCTGGATCCAGGCAATATGTTGTTACCTTGACAGCAGCCGAGTACTGCTGTGAGAATTTCTGACACTGGTCCAGTTTGGCTTGATTTCTCTCGATTTCTGCAACCAAAGCCTTTGACAAAAGAATTCAAAAGCGAAACCATTATCAGAACAACTGCTGCAGGTGCAGAGGGCTTCCTTCCCCCTGCCATTTTAACTGAGTTCTCCTCTTTCATCCTCTTTTTATGCATAGCCCCATTTGCTGTCCTCTCACACTTGCTCAGAGGTGCCATATTAGGTTCCCAGTTAGATGGCTCTGGTGTCTTCAAGCAGAAACAGAGCAAGTGATGCCTCTGTCTTTCCTTCATCCCATAAATCAGACACAGCTCAAGGTCTCTTTAAGGATGCTTTTGTCTGATGAAAGGCCAAATGCATTGAAGGGCCTTGATTACCAAATAGCCACGTTAATCTCAGCCACATTCAGAAACCAGAGTGGAGGATGGCAATGTTTGTCAAACGGGAAAGACCAAATCAATAGACTACATCTCCCTTTCTGGAATCCCCTCTCCTGGAGCATTTGCTCATCGGTTGTGAAAGGAGCTTGAATGAGAACAGTGGGGACTTTAAACTTACTAAAAAAAAACCAGGCAGAAATAGCTCTTCCCCCATCCTGCCAATAAACTGCAACTCTGAAACCCTTCAAGGAGGGAGAAGGGAAGGGAGCTCAGGCTCTCTAGCCCATTTCATCTACATGAGCACTTTCTACATCCACCTAGCTGAGGTACTTACATAGCTCCCGTTACTGTAATATCCGAGTGCTCTGTAATTTTTGATGCATTTATCCTCCCAACACCCTTGGGGGGTAGGAAAGCGTCACTGACATCTGCATTATGCTAACCCCTGAGCCATCCTTCCGGTCTCCTTCCAGTAAGCCTACTAGGAACTGCAGATCACAGAACAGGCATCGGGTGATGGTAACTTTTGGAATTAGCCTCCTGGGGTGTATTTTATTGGGCTAGCGGTTGGCAAAAGCTTGTACATCTGACTACAAATCCATGCATCAGTCAAGCCTTGCAAGGCTCATCTCACAAAACAACTTTTTACTAGAATCATCTTGGACACCAACGCCGCTCTAGTGAGAAAGGCGCCACACTTCAGGCCTTACCGTCTGCTGGCTCAGCTGCTCGGACAGCACTCTGCTATCTTCCGCCTGCCCCGGTTTCATCAACTCCTGCTGGGCAGTGGTCTCCTCGATCCACTGGACGAGCGCCCCGTGACACTCGCGGTAATCACTCAGCACCTCCTGGATGCTCTCCAGCTCTGTATGGCTGAAAGGACAAACAGAGAGAAAGAGAGGGAGGGAGCCGTCACTACACCTGAATCCTTGTGTCAAAACAACAATCCAGACCTGCCCAGATAAACAGAACGTCTCCAAATCTCCCTGGGGATAGTTAGAGAGACCTCATGCTCTGCTCTGGAGAGACAGGGAGCCTTTTCAAGCGGGGCTGCAGTGTGCGGGTACTGGAAACAGAGCCAGCCAAAATAAAACTAATCAACTGCACCGAGAGGCTGTAAAAGGTATTCCAACGTGAAGCATCCTCTGGCAGAGAGCAGCAGCTACAAAGCTTGCCCACAGGATGGCAGATTGTCTAAAAACAGCAAGGGATGGAGCCAGGAGAGGAGAGGGAGACAAAGAGAAGGAAGTTCCACCTTCCCTTCAAAGGGGGAAACACCTCACAGTATCCACCCGCGAAGAACAACACTGCTAACCCCAAGCAGCCAGAGCGAGAAGGCAGCAGCATCTCACCGGGTCTCGATCTGAGAGCAAGCTCTCTGCCAGCGATCCCACAGCTGGCTCCCCTTCTCCTGGTAGCGCTCTAGGTCAAGGCTGCGCTCTTGCTTCATCCGGTATAGCTCTTCTCCCACAGTCTTCGCCTTGGCGATGTCCTCTTCCAACGTGGAGAACACAGAGCTCTTGTCCTTCACTTCACTGAGCCATTGCTTTAACAAACATCAAGACGGTTCAGCAGATATTACTGGTAGAACACCTCACTTCAAGTTATGGCTGCTGCTATACAGTATAACAGGGATTTCTTCAATAAAACATTTAAAAGAGCATGGAAGAGCAGTGAATGTAGGGCAGGTAGCCCTGCCTGACACCGCCCTGGGGAGGGGATTATTCTTTCTCCATAATCTGCAACAGAACTGGCCAAATCTAGGACTTGGAGATGCAAAATATTGTAAAGGCTGGTGCCCACTTTAGATGAGTCTTGTAAGAGTCACCATCTGTGAGCATAGCCCAAAGGATCTGCCAGGTGCCATCAGCACCAGCCATGCAAAAACATCTAGTGACCTTATCTACCAGGGCATCTGCTCTACTGACAGCACCCAAAGCAACAGGGACTGCATGGACTCAACGAGGGAGCAAGGCAGATGTACAAAGCAAATCAGATGGACAGAGGGAAAAATCCAGTTTTACAAATGCCAGAGTGCCAAGACCAGCACGACACTGGTTTCAACTGTGTACTGCTGGAGAAGTAATGTGACCCACCTTTAACGTAGCTCTGTGAGACTGAATGGCAGCTAGATCTGCTGGGACTGCCTCCTCCTGGCTCAGTTTAACCTCATACCCCTTGACCAGTGACTCTGCTCCCTGGGTATCCCGAACAATCAAATCAACCATCTTTAGCCTAGGAGGGAAAGAGGAGGAGGAGGAAACTGTGACTTCCCAAACATTCTTTGCTGTGAAGTCATTGCCAACAAAAATATCATAGAAGCAACAAAGATATCATAGAAACATAGAAAATGAGGCTTGGAAGGGTTCTCAGGAGGTCACATCTAGTCCAACCCCTGCTCAAAACAGGACCAGCCCCAGTTAGATCATCCCAGCCAGGGCTTTGTCTACCCTGGCCTTAAACACCTCCAAGGATGGAGACTCCACTGCCTCTCCAGGTAGCCTGTCCCAGTGCTTCACCACCCTCCTAGTGCAGAAATTCTTCCTAATATCTAACCTATACTTCCCTTGCTGCAACTTGAGACCATTAAGCCCATTGCTCCTTGTTCCCCCATCTGCCTGTTGGGGATGACCTATCAAGCTGGTCTGTTCAAGCACTAGAAGGAGACATCTAAGAGAATGAGCGCTGCCAGGGCAATGGACAATGACTACAAGTACCTGTCCAACCCAAGCATTGTAAAACTCCTACAAAACCTGAGGAAATGAGAGTGGACCTGTGTATCCAGCAGGGCCTAAGAGCTGGAATGCTGCAGTCTAACACCACGTCTCACAGCAGCACCTTTGGCTGTCTCCCACAAATCACCAGTCTTCATTTTTTAAAGGTATTGAGGGGCCCAGCTCCCACTGTCCTTAATCTCTGTGCTTTGATGCTTCCAGCTGTAAAGGGTAGTCTCCTGTTATGTTTCTCCAGAAATTTTACAAAAGGATACTATCCGGACCCTAAGCATCCCGGCTACTTATCTGCTCCCTAAGTTAGTGCCTGGGAAGTACGAGCCTCATAGGAATACTCTTAGCAAGCAGGTTACAGAGACACCTGCTCTCAAAGCGCGACCACAATTGCTCTTCGCTGCCAGTAAGTGACCCACCAGTCCAGCACACATTGCTGGGCATTTAGCAAACAGTCTCCATGACTAGAGAACCACTTTTTGCTCCTGCTTTAGGCACTGCCTTCATAAGATTTTTGAAGACCAGAGCAAGGAACTTCTCCACCCTTTTCCTTTACTCTTTAGGCAAAAAAAAGAACTCCCCTCTTAGGCAACTGCCTGCTTTTGTCTGTGCTGATGGAAGTGAGGCACGAACAGCACTGAACAGGATAACCCAGAACAGGAACAGTCACCAAGTAAGTTCCCCTGCCTGGCTCAGAGCAACTAATGCTCCTCCACGCTGAGCTGTGCACCCGCTGCTAATGCAGTCCCTACATGTGAGTCTACCTCCCAGCTCCTGCTCAGGCTATGAGCACAGACTGCTAAACACCCTGGAGGATGCTGCCAGACTCCGATGTCGGCACAATGTGGGTTGGACCGTTTCCCCGCAGAATGCACTGCAGTCTCTGCAGTGTGGTATAGACCTTCCCAACCTGGTGTCATACTAGCAAGCTTGGGTACTGGAAGCTGCCTTGCTACAGCAGAATACAGCATGAGGTTCATTTACTGCTCTTCTTGGCAGGGCAAAAAAATTCACACCAATCTCTGCATTGCCACAACAGACTGCTTCCAGTACCGGAGCTGAGTAGTATCAAGCCAGCGCCCATTGCAGAAACACCAGTATAGATGGGCATCCACACACACAACTCTTCTGGAGCACCGCTCCTGGGACCCACTGTTCCTCCTGAGTATGCTGTATCTGCTAGACAGTCTCAGGCCAGTTCAGAAGACAGCTGAACACCTTCCTCATTTCAGAGAGCAACCATGCAGCAGAGCCTCTTTTATCCATGCAGACGTCTCAAAAAGCACATCCCCACTCACTTGTCCAGGTAGATGAAAGAAAGCCCACACATGTGATCCATCTTATCTACCAGCAGGCTGAGTTCAGAACGCAGGTGCGGTATGCTGGACCCCGTTGGAGACTTGTCCAGGAAACTCTTGCACCGCTCAGAGACTTGCTGCAAGTCACATTTCAGCCGCTGCAAATCCTCCTGCATGCGCTGCGGGGGACACAGAGAATTAATAGCCACGTATAGTACAGACTGGCAGGGAAAAATGCTGAGAAAAGCAGGGGCTGCCATGGCACAGAGCAGACAGACACAGAGATGAACAAGATAGGGTACACGAAGATCACTCTGATATTTCCAGCGTAAAGCTCAACTCAGCAGAATCCTTTCAGAGCCAATTAGGGCTGGGCTGTGAGCGGCTTCCACAGGCATTGCACCATTTTCTTTATTCACTTCCACTATCAGATTGTGCCACACTTAGCCTTGATGGCTGTACAGGCCAAGAGCGTTCACTCTTTTCGAACTGCTGCTTCTTTTATCCCAGCTGAGGGCAGCAATTACTGCACGTGATGAGTTTGCCCAGCTGGCTTCCAGCAGTGTTGTTTGCAAAAGGCCATGCGCGTGCTAGTTGCAACACACAGAAAAGGAGCATACATTTCAATCGGATTTCCCCTCCCACCCCCTTGGATTCACGTCTTGCATTCAGTGTCTGCTCAGTGGGTGGAGGAGTGGGTTGGGCTTGTTGACATCTTTCCACAGGGAAACCACAGGGTGGGAAGAGATGGGAAACACAAAGAAGCAGCAAAGCAAGATGCGTTCATTGCCTTTCTCACTTAAAAAGTAAAATGCGCCACCCTCACAGAGGGACATAAGCAGGGAAGTCCTTTGGTAGTATTTATGCCTGAGTATTAGTGCCACCTGCACATCCCACTTCCCTCTGTGCCACTGCTAACCTAGCCGGAAGCACTGACCTCTTGCTCTGCAACGCGGAAGGTGTTCTCCTGAATAGCGTCACCATCTGCTCTGGTGCTGGCCGGGGTCTGGATTCGGTTCACTAGTCTCTGCTCACACTCTTCCAGGTGCAGGCGAATGTTCTTGAGCTCCGAGAGATACATCCTGGCAACCGTCTCATCTTTGTCCTCTGTCAAATCGCGAGAAAAAACACACAAAAAGGCCATCGATCAATCACCATCTCAAATGAGAGGCTCAGAGCCAGATGCAGCACCGGCCTGATGAGAGAGAAGCAAGGGCAGAGGTCTCTGCTCAGATGGAAAATAATTCAATCAAAGCATCCCTATAGCTAGGAAGGCTTCTAGCCAGGGGGTAGCTCACATTGTGAAAGACTGTTTTATCTGAGTCAGAGCCAGCCCCCTGCCATGCTACACACACACCTGTAGATAATTCTGGGCAGGAACAGATGTAATGGTTATAAAAGGCGAGAAAACTCTCTGTGATTCAGCTGAATCTTTGGCCTGTCTGTTCCAACCCGGTGGCAAATGGAAGTTAAACCAAGGCATGTTACCCCTGAATGAAACAGAGTTAAGTTACCACGGTTTAACTTTGCTTGCAGGGAGACAGCAGACAGGCAGCAAAACAGTGCCAGGGGAACAGTCAACACATGCTCACAAGCGGTGAAGTCCTCCCTCTTTTAAAGCAGTAAAATTCTCCATATGCCCTTGCTGTCTGAATGACACGACTGCATTTAAACATACATTTCACTCGATGGCCTTTTCAGCATCTCCCACAATGAAGCAGATGACAGAATCGACTGCCAAGGCAGCGTTTTGCCCAGGGCTCACCTCAGGTGGCACCAGGGCTACCAACGCCTAGGCAGATGCCTCCTCATCAGCTACAGAACAAGTGACAATGCCTGGGTCACTCTGCACAGAGCTGAACTGCTCAGCATGCTGGTAGCATGCCACCCTCATGAAGGCCATGCATGGAAACAGGCTGAGGCAGAGAAGGCAGCTGTGTACGAAGCCAGAATCCATGATGTTACTTAGATAGTTCAGAGCACCTGCAAGCCCCCCAGTCCTTGCTCCATCCATTAACCTCTCTCCAGCTCACCGTTCTCCATGGACTCCAGAAGCTGTTGGAAATGTTCCTTACAGGAGTCCACTTCCTCTTCCAGGTGCAACCGATCAGCCACCGAGAAGAGCTCAGAGTCACAACTGTCCTGCAGGAAGTCTTCATAGTGAGTCTGGAGGCTCTTCATGGCTTGCTGGCACTCTCCTTGAGCCAAGGACCTGAGCTGCGGAGGCAATGGCAGAGTCTCTAACCATCAGGAACAAAGTCCCACCTTTCACCCAGATGCACCCACACACCTCCCAGGCCCTGGAGTCGCCCAGACCTTGCGCCCATTTCTCAGAAGCAGTCATTCATATGCTTCTTGTCTGGGGAGAGGCTGATCTCTCCAAGGGGGACAACCAGCCCTGGGCCCTCCCTGGGACAGCCCTGCTCTGGCAGGCACATTGTTCTGCACGTCACCTCCAGGTCTGCCCTGCTTGGTGTTTTTACTGCTGTGTCCCCAGCAGAATAATCTACATTTTCCTGAATGGAATTGCTCATTGTAAAAAAGGGAGAGAGAAGTGAGAAGGAGCTGAGTCTCAAATCTCTCCCCTTTACCTTGCTCTTAACAGTTCACCAAGGAGCGAGTGGAACCAGATCTATGATGCCTTGGTTCATGAGAGCGGAGTCAGCACCGGGGGCACTAGACATCTGTAACCACTTTTGCACAAAAGCCCCCAGAGCTTAGACCCCCCTCAGTGCCACGTACAGTGCTGGCTCTCAGCCCCTTTGGTTCGGTCCCTTGCACCCACCCGACTTCCTTGTACTCCCCATGAAGCTACAGGTGCTTCTGCATCACAGCCCACCCCAGCCAGGATGATTTAATTCTAGACCCTGCCGGGGAGGTGGCGATGTGCAGCAGGGGCGAGCTGCACGGTACCTTCTCCGTGTTCCAGCCTTGCACCAAGGTCAAGTCCTTCCGCAAGTAGTTCCAGGAGATCAGGCTCTTTGTGTTCACGTGGAGCTGGTGCCAGAGGGCCATCACTTTCTGGTACAGCTGCTCCACCCTGCAAAAGGACAGCGCCGTTCTGTCACCGCCGATGCCCCCAGCGCACGTGGTTACAGCAGGCTGCCTGGCCCGATCCTGCCACAACAGGCTCTTGAGCTTTCTGCCTTTAACAGCATTTGCACTGTAGGCAGGTACGTCCTCCCCTCCATGCTGGGTGTCACAGCTCAGCCTGGATCTCTGACATCCCCTCACAGATGGCTGGCATCAGCCCAAGCTCACGGCGGCTAAAACAAAGCTCTTCATCTTTTCCCACTATCCCCCTTCTCCATCACTGTGGACAACACTCCCGCCTGCCAGCCAGTTAGGCCCATCATCTGGGGATCATCCTCCCCTTCAGGTCCTCACATCCAAGCTCTCTCTACATCTTGCTGACTCATTTTGCACAAAACCCAACACACGGCTTTTTCCTTCTCCACCTCCGTAGCCGAGCATCTTGCCCAGGGACAGCAACATCCTTTTCTCCAGCCTTGACAAATGCCCTCTGGCCCTGCTCACCCCCATCCAGAAGGCTGCTGCAAAAATCATTCCCGTAGCCTGCAGGTCTGACCAGGTCTTTTCTCTCTGCGCTCCTCCATGGCTTCCGCTTTGCTGCAGCATCAAACATATGCTGCTCATCTTCACCTTCAATGTTCTCCGAGAGCTATCCTCACTCCTGCTACCAGCTCTCAGAAACATTGATTCCCACCTCCCACCAGCCCAAGAAGCCAGGCTCCATCACCCACTTGTTAGATGCTCTGCTTTTCTCAACACTCAGGAGAAGCTCCTCATAGCTATCAGCAAATCTTCCCCTTATCCTCCTTCAAACCCCTCATTGAAACTCTTCTTTAGCAGGTTGCCTACAAACATTTGACAACGCTGAGGCGGCTGCTGTGCTAGGATCACTGCCCATCATGTTGACCAACACTGTTGCTTTATTTCCTGGGTCCCATCTGCCTGTCTCTCGTCTTAGCCGTAAACTGTAAACTCTGGAGCAGGGATTATCTTGTGTCCTGTTTCTGTACAGCACCTTGCACCTGGTCCAGGACTGAGCTCCTAGGCACTGTACACATAACAACTAATGGTTGTGGAAGCTGCCAGGCAGGCTCCACTACAGGTAACGCCTCACGAGCCAAAGAGCAAACAGAGCCCGGTGCCCTTTGCTCCTGCCCAGGAAGTGAGAGAAAACGCAAACCTCACGTCTACACTAGTTTCCTTGCAAACCCCGACCATCGACATGCTGCCCTCATACAAGCCAGAAGCATAGTCGTTGGAAACTAGCCCTAGCACTAGTTGCACTTACAGCGGCCTGGCAGGTTTAACACAAGGGGTCTGCACCAGTGTAAAAAGCCAGATAGTCTAGGCAAGCCCCCGGGGGCCAGGCTCCCTGCTAATACTGTCATCAAAGGGAGTCAACGGGGGCCGGGGTGGCATGGGCACTAAGGCGCACACTTGACAGTGCAGAGGTCGCGAGTTTGAGGCCACAGCAGCACTCATGGCTCAGCCTGACAAATCCCAACGAAATCTAAAAGTTTTGCTAAATACCTTGTCCCAAGGGCATGAAAAAGAAAGGGAGTCAACAGTAACTCCACTTTTGGTTATCTGTCATTGGGAACTGAAATCCCTGACTGAACAGCAACCAGACCCTGCTATGCCTTTACTGGATAGCACCTGCCACACCTGGACTCGAGCTCTGGATCAGGAAACCAAGCATTCCCCATCATTTCACTCCCTCGGTGCCTCCTTCCTAACTACTAAAGTCCTGACAAGCCTTAAACGAACAACTCCCAGGACGAGCAAGGGGTTAGGCATTTCCCAAAGCACCAGAGATTTGTTCAGGAGCCATATAAATACCCCCCACATTGCAACAGAGGCAGAGAGAGGCCTCCCCTCGTCACTCCGGCTTCGAGTTGCCAAACCACAGCAAGCCAGGAAGAGCAGGGCTTTGTTACCTGTTGGCAATGTCGATGGCCTCTTTGTTCGGAGGAGGGATGAGGAAGCACACGGATGGCACCATGGCTTCATTTCCAGTGGGGCTGATCACCTTCCATTTGGTCCTCTGGGAGTTATCTTCCAGCACGCACTCGTCATTCTTGCAGATCGTGATCTATGAGGACCGCGGAAGGTGAGAGTCTGACCCGACGCCCAACCCACAACAAAGCATCACCTGCAAATGCCTTTCCTGACAGCCAGGTCCCTTTCTAGGAGGTCCCAGAGCTGCCACTGGAGGAAAACTGGATTGAAATGTAAAAGCTCTCTTTAAAAAAGAAAAAAAAAAAAAAAAATCAACCCAAAAGGAGGTAAATTGCCAGTCACTTCGGGAAAGGAAAGGAGGAGAAATTAGATAAAATTGGGTGGGATGCAGGCAATTATTTAATGGGAAGATATCAAACCTATGCTCCTCTGGAAACAGGACACTTATTACCACTCAGAGCAAATCAAGGTCATTGAAAAAGCTATTTGAGAAGCAGAGACTGTTCCCTTTGCCTCCTTACCATGCCACCAAATACGACAGGATCCATCCAAGCTTCGCTCTTTCCTCCTTCCCTCTCTCCCAGCTCCCACACAAGCTCAGTCTTTCCTTCCCTCCCCAGAGAAACCCCCTGCCGGGCTGTCCCGTCAGCCCACTCACCTCAATCTGGCGATAGTCACAGATAGCCTTGATGGGGATGGTGCTCCTCAGAACGTGGTCCGGGTTTCTCGGCTTCAGCTGAACAATGGTTTTGGACCGCCCCACCAAGCTGGCAACGGAGCTCTTCGACTGAATGAGCTGCTCCTTTTCATCCTGACAAAAATAACAGCAAAGCATTGGCATTGGCAGGCCATGGGGGGGTTAAACAACTGGTCAATCCCTTAGCATTGCCACAACGCCCCTCTGCTCCCCAAAGGCAGCAGCATCCTGGCTGGGAATTTAAGGTCTGAGCCAACACAAAGAGACTTCTCCTCACCTGAGCCCCAGGGTTGGGGGGACAACACACAGCTTTTCCCCAGCTAGGCAACTATACGACACCCCCGCCCCGCAAAGCTGCATGCAGAGCATCGGTTCTTTTGCTGCTAGAGGCAAGAAAATCCCGTCTGTCGGCATATAAAGGGTGGGGAGCAAGAGCAGCTTGGCCGATGAGCCATTCCTTTCTGCCGCTCTGGACAGACTGTAGGAACGTGCTCCCCTCCTCACTCTCACAAAGCAAGGAAAGGCAGCGCATTTCAAACCACGTCTAGAAGGTCAACGCAGCGGGGTAAAGGGATAAAGCCCCCCCCCCCAGAAACGGTTAATGGGAGCCTGGTCACAGCGTATGGGCAAATGGACGGGTTCAGTGAGGCTGTCAACTTCCCCCAAGTCAGCTTCTGCACGCGCACACCCCAAACGCACAGTCAATGCAAGGTAGCTCACACCGCTTTCACTGAAAAGCTACCTTACATCCACCATGTGGCTGCTATGGAGCAGCTGACATCCCGAGCTCCCTGTCTTGCTTAACCTGAAATAAACTGCACACATGCCCACCCTCAGGGCAGAAAGACATTGTCCAATTGCCCCCGCCCTCCAGTTTCTGCTCATCTCACTGCTAGCTAACACAGGGATGCTCCCTTCCAGAGCACTGTCAAACCCCCAAGCCATTCCACTTGAGAAGCACGTCTTTCAGGATGTCATTGCAAGCTTTAGGGTTCAGCCCATTTTTTTTTCCTAAAGCCAGAAGTTAAAAAGAAAAAACCCCAAATCCAGAGACATTTAACCCTCATGCTTTCCACGCTCAGCCCATTAAAAAGGGTTAGCTTCAGTGCTAGAAAGGATGACCAGTCAATTATTTAATGGTACAGAAAAGAAGTGCTTAAAGAAACTACCTGTGCCTGTCCCAGGCAGCATGGTTGGAAGAAATACAGCTTTAACTCATTAGGTAAGAAAGAAGAAGAGCATACACCAGAGAGAGAGCCAGAGCATCCTGTTACTTAGATCTTGGCTACTCGTCTAAACATGGCACAAGGTCCTACCACGCCAGAGGCCCAGGGCCAGCTTTCTAATGCTCCAGAGTCTAAGTACGTGTGGGTACCACTCTGATAAGAGCACCAGAAGCCATGACAGCTGCTCCACGTCTTGATGACCGGAGGAGACAGGCTGAGCACCAGACCTGGATTACCCACAGTACCTGAGGACCCTGACATGGAGAGGAGGGAATACCACACCGAGCCTCGAGAAGGAGAGAGAGCACAGGTGAGCCCAGAGGATTTACCCTGTGTGGCCGACTGACCATCAGATCAGTGCCCACATTTCTACAGCAAAACCTCCAGGGACCAAACGAACTATCAGAAACACTCTGGGAGATCGTACATGGCAACTGGGTCATGCAACATCTGAGTTCAACCTCCCTGAATATTCGTCATGGCTAAGCAGTGAAGCACTAGCATGGACTTGTCCTCCTCTTTAGGGCGCAGAGTTCAATCACAGATTGATGCTCCTCCCCCCAGTTTCTCTTGTCCTGTCTTTTGGCATTGCTCAGCTCCCACTCTACTGTGTGAACAGCTCTATGGTGCTCCCCTTGCATTAATGTCACCCTCTTGCTCAGGGGTGGGCAAAATGCAGCCCACCAGGCCATTCTATCCGACCCGTGGGGCCCCTAAAAAATTTTGAAAATTAACATTTATCTGCCCCGGCTGCCTGTCATGCAGCCCTTGATGGCTTGCCAAAACTCAGTAAGTGGCCCTCCGCCCGAAATAATTGCCCGCCCCTGCTCTTGCTGCTGTCCCGATTGCAAAACAGACATTGGATGCTCATTGCTTTGATTTTAGAGCTAGCCTCCTTTGTGGATCTGACGTAACCAATTAATCAGACACTTGATCTGAACTCAGCGAGGGGGTTTCTCTCCACCCCACCTTGCTCTTGAAGGAGCGGCAGCAGCAGCAGCGGCAGCTAAGGAGGTTACAGCCTTCAACTAGATCAAAGTAGAGTAGATTTTCACTGGATCAAAGCACAGTGACTGCCTCTACCCAAAAAAAATAGCTTATCCCCACAAATTTACATATGGAAAGATGGTTTGATGGATACTAATGATGGGAACTTTTTAAAAGAAACCGTGAGCACTTCTCATTTTTCTACACTACAAGAGGTGTCTAGTCAGCTTATCTGTACAGCCACCCACACCAACCTTTAACAAGGTCACAAAGAGGTGGAGTGTTTTGTGCCAAGGTGCCTCATACATGAGAGTCCTTCACTGCAGTCACTCATCTTCCATTATAACTATTCAATTAAAATCAGATTAGTGTGGACAGTGTTAAATCAACACTAAGTGGTACCATGGAGGTCACACCCAGGCTGCACTCCAAAAACAGACAGACACACACACAGAGCGTGTGAATACTGTGATGAAACACTGTTACAGCCTCCTCCTCTCCAAGGTGGGTGGTAGTCTGTTTCCCACTCCCTCTCCCTCTCATGCGTCTATCATTTTGGTGGCTAAGCAACCAACTCTGCCTTTGTGCCCCCTTGGTCTGGCTGACTATGGGAGGCTACATTTTGAGCTTCACGCTAAAGGAAGCACCCCAAGTTTTTGCAGTGGATCAGGCACCCTCAAGCTTTATAAGGCCTGTGTATCTCAGTGGGCACAGGGCCGCAGACAGACCAAGACTCTTGGGTGGTGGCAGCGATGACCCCAGGCTCGCAGGTGTGATCTGGGAAGAGGGGAGGCACTCTGAGCCTGATAGGTGGTCGGGCACAGTGAGGTGGGTGGCTCAGCACAGGAGTGGCCCACCACAAATACCAATGCACATCAGAAAATCAGAATGCAAAGAGAGGGCAGAGGTGAGTGGGCAAAGAACATGAAGCTTAACCATGCTGATCTAAGAATGAATATACCATTTGTCCCCTTAAAGCCAAAGGCAGGCAGCAAGGGCGCTGCATGGGACTGCTCATCTATCACGTGGACACCCCATAATCTGGGGGCTGATAAAACACCCACCATGGAATCCTGGAGCAGGTCCTCCAGTCGGGTCAGGCTGGTGTTACGGTCACAAGAATACTTCCGTTTGATGGAGTCCTGGAGGTTCCTTAAGTACGTCTCCGACTCCCGGGCATCACTGAAGAACTGCAGAGCCAGAAAGCGTCAGAGAACTCTGTACCACTCAACACACCCCAGGCCACTCAGTGACATATGGTGCTGAAAGGGTCTGACCAACACCCTCAGCAGGCAAGCATCTTCTACTGCCCTGTCCCTCTGTACCATGACAGCTGTGAGCAGCACTATCTGCATGCCGAGGGCTATTCTAGAAGAGCTGAGCCTACAACATAGAGGGCAAAATATCCCCCGGGGACAGGTCAGAAGAGAAGGAGTTAGAATGGAATAAAAAAAAAGATGATGTCCTTCATCAAATTAGAGTCAGCTGGCGCTGTGCTACAGGCACTCAACGCAGGTTTTGTTCTCTGAATGGCAGATCAGGGAGGGCAGGGCTGGGCTCTCCCCACTACTCTACCTGAAAGTAAGCAGCGTTCTCCTTCACGTGCTGTTCCACACACAAGCAGAGCTGTTTGATCCACTGCCATTGGGACTGGACAGCCGCACTGTATGCCTGGGAAGGCAAAGGACACCACGAGTTACAACCGAAATGAAATCAGTTTTATGGGTCAGCATTTAAATAGCTCATGAAGTTCAGACTGCTCAGCTGGATTTGGCTCCCACAAGGTGCAAGGGGGAGTGTACTGGAAGACACAAAAGGAAATAAAGCAGAGAGGCCTTTTAATGGTACGTCCTGAAAGGACATTTCCTTCTACTCTCCAGCACGGGGAACTGTGGGATGGTGCTGGTTCATGAATGAAACAGCAAGAGAAAGCATGCTCTAATAACCTTAAAATGTTTCTCCATCACTTTCATGAGCATGAACAATTCAAAATTAGCTCAAAGTCATTTGCTGTCTTATCTTAACACAGGACCTTGGGCCTGGGCCCTGGATAAGCAAGCACCTCTTGTCATCATCACAAATACCATCAAAATGGTATTTGTTTTCCTGGTACAATAAAGCTGTTTACCACCACTTAGAGCTGATAAGAGTGACTGGGGTGGAGGTATTGTTGGTTGCAGCCGTGTTAGTCTAAGGATGCAGGCAGACAAGGTTCTTTGGGTAAATCCAATATCGTTTATCAGACCAACTAAAATACTTGGAAAAATTCTTCTTTGCAAGCTTTTGGGTACAAACACCCTTCTTCAGACAGAGGAAGCATCTACCCAGGCTGGAGGTAGAAGTGCAGCATATTTATTGCATGTTTGCTGATCATGCTTCTTCATGAGGATTTCCCTGGGTTCGACTGACATGACCTGGGGCGAAACCCTTCAGTATGTGCCCCTGAACAGACCACGTACCTCAACAGTTTGTTTGGCCGGGTGATTCTCTAGGGACAGCAGCTCAGCTGTGTCTTGCAGAGACCGAAACACATCCTGCTTCTCTTCCAGTTCCATCGTCAGCTCCTGAGTGTCAGAGACACATAAAGACTCTGGTCAAAATCAGACACTTGTGTAGTAACCACATTTTAAGCATCCAACCAAAACTGAAGATGTGAGAGGATCTGAAGATGTGACTACGGCAGGGCTGAAACCAGTGACAGAAAAGTCACCGAGAATTCGACAGTGCCTCTGATTTACGTTTTGAATGACATTATTTGATTAAGAATTGAAAAGATAATGTCTTTCCAGCTGTAGCCCAGAACTTCAGCCTGGGAATCTCTTGAACTCTGAATAAGATTTTTTTCCCCCATGCTTGCAGATGTGGAGGTGGGTGGGGGACAGGGACAAAATGAAACCCAGCTGAACAGACTTTACTTTGAGCTCCAGACTCTGCCGAGAACCATGTTTTGTGGGTGGCGATGACAGGTTACAAGCACTATGGGCTTGTCTGAAGGAACTCAGAGCTCTTGAAAAGTCTCAACTACAGTTCCCAGTGGTCTCCTGAATTTTTCATGGAGCTAAAAGGCTCACAGCAACAGCAGCATCACCAGCAGAGCTGTACAGCTGGAGTCCGCGCCTCAGGGTTTCACTCACCGAGAAGTAATTTCTTTTGGCTGCAATGTTGGAGTTATTGTCACTCCAGTCGTAGGCCAGCTCATCTTCCTCCTTTTCATTCAGCCAGATGAGCTCAGCTGTGGCTCGAGACACAAACCCGTACAGACTCTGGAGATGCCGCAGTCGGAAGCTTGACGTTTCCTGCGCACAACAAAAAACCCGCTCCCCTTGGGTGAGTTGCAATGGGATCCTTCCCCGACTCTATTTCAGTGCCCCCAAGGTGGGAAGCGGGCTTAAAACAGTCTTCAGATGCCCTCCTACCAGCTAAGTGAGAATCATGCCCCCACCACATTCCTAGGACAATTGCCACCACGAGCATCTGCTGCAAACTGGGAAGCAGTTGTGGGAATATCTTCTGGGCTGCATGTCCCGAGGCAGACAAACAGCTTGGAGAAGTGGCCACTTGCCTCCTGGAGACAGGGGGAACTAACTGAGCCTAAAGCCATGGCCCTCAGCAGTGCACAGTCCAGCCTTGCAGAAACTATAGCTATGCGTGTTTACAGGTGGCTGCTCTTCTCCTCTGCTTGCAAGCCCCCAAAGTTGTTGCTAGCACAACAGGGCACAGATACACCCTGCATCTTTCACCTTGGACACTGCGAGGGTGGCCAGGACCCTGAGGAAGCAGCAGGGTACAGTGCCAGTGGGTGGGGTGTACAATACCCACTCACCATCAGCTTGCAGTACTGCGTCTCCAGCTTGCCGAGTGTTTCCGTGTAGCTGGTGCGGAAATTCTGGGACATTTTACCCTGAGGAACGAAAGGTATTGGGGTACCCAAGTCAGAGCAACACCCCCACAAATCCAAAGCAAGTCCCTTCCCTGAACTGCCCATGAGCAGCAAGAGAAGGAAGCAGGAATGCCTTTTGGTGCGTGTCTGGGGAGGTGGGAGTGTCTCAGGCTGGGGGGAAAGAGTCCTTTTTCTCAGGGGAGGAACTTATCCAAGGGAAAATAAAGACTGATTTGCAAGAAAACAGCTGGAAGACATACAGCAGCAGAGGCCAGATCCAATGAGCAGCCTCAGCACTTGGGTTTAAGCCCTACCCACGTTTCACGGAGTAAGTTTGGAGGGATAAATTCAAGTTTGTTCATTCTGGGGGGTGTTCAGTGAGCCCACCTGTGTACCCTCAGAGACACAGCGTGTGTGGCCAGGTCACCTGACAGCAGCAAAGATGCCTCGCTGCTTCAAACCCAAGCCTGCGCATCCTCTGAGCCGCAAAACACTGGCAGGACCCACCTTCCTGCCCCTCATCCTCACCCCTGTGAGCTCTTGCCAGTGTAGCTACCCCCTCCTCCAGCCTGTCACCTCACCTCATACAGCCGAGCCTCCTTCACGCTGGAGCCCAGGTCCTCCACGCTGGTGTGGACGTGCCGCTGGGTGTCCAGCTGAGATTCCACGCTGGGCAGGTCACTCCCCCACTCCTCTCGCTCCAGCCTCATCTGAAACAGCCCCCAATAAGTCCAGCCAGCCTTCTTCAGGCTCAAAAGCACGTGAGACTAGGGGTGACATTACCTCCCAACTCGCTACCAAGGCACAACGCTCTTTAAGGGGCTGATCCTAACACCACTTCGGTCAAGCACCCAACTCTCACTGAGTTCAGCAACAGATGAGTCCCAAGCCACAATCCCAAGCCATTCAAGAGGGCTTTTTGGGTTGAATCCACCTCGCGCCCTGCTTTGAAGAGTACCTTCCCCATTCCCTGTGCACAGCCTGTTAAAAGACAGCATGTAAACCCCATCTCCAGCCTTTCATAGTTTCTAGGGTCGGAAGGGACCTAAGCAGATCATCAAGTCCGACCCCCTGCCATGGCAGGAAGAGCACTGGGGTCAAGCGACTCCAGCAAGATGTTCATCTAACCTCCTCTTAAAGACCCCCAGGGTAGACAGTCCCAGCCGTAGCCAGCCCACCAGAGGCATGACACGGATGGGCACGTGCTGCACCCCGAGGGTCCCCTCGGGCTCTGTGCCCCCCACCCCTCGGGCACCTCAGAGACGGCCACCCAGACAGAGCCCATGGCCCCGGGCTCCACGCAGACGGTGCCCCTGGCTCTCGGCCGCGGGGGCTGCCTGTCCCTTTTCCAGGCTCTGGGGCCCGGGAGCATGGCCACCTCCCCGTGTGGGGTCGGCTCCCTACTGGGGTCTCTGGCACCAGCTGGAGGAGCTCCAGGCCACCGTCCAGAGGCTGCGCACCATCGGGGACTGTGAGCTGGAGATTGACTCCTACTGCCAGGCCCTTCTTCCCCCGGAGCTGCCAGGTCTACCACGGTCTCCCTCCAGGACAAGGGAGGACTCGGGGACCTCCCGCTCTGTCCAGTCAGGGGCATGGACCGAGGTGGCCAAGGGCCCCAGGGCCGCTGCACCAAGGCCCCTGCCCTGCTGGCGCTTAGCAACAGGTACGCGCCTCTTGCTGCCCCGGCAGAGCCAGTGGAGTCGCCAGCTCCCACAGGCACCACGGGCCCAACTGCAGCT